CTGCCAGAGCAAACTGCAGTTTGATCTGGCAACAAAAACGCAGTTAAAGGACAGTTTCTGTCCACTTCAAAGCACATAATTGACTGCAGCCAGCAATACAGAACTGATGGCACTTTAAATGCAATTTAAGGGCAGTAAAGAACTGCAGAGAGGAACTGCAGATGCGCCACTGCAGTTTCAAATACAGTTTGACTGCTGATCCTTTCGTGCGGGGCGGCGCTAGCCTGCCTTCGGCAGGCAATGGCTTGTCCATCGTCGATTTTCTTACCTTGTTGCGTGCTGGGGGGCTCCGCCTCCCAGACCCCCCTTTCTTCAAGACAGAAGCAACCTGCCTACAGAAAACTCGATTTTTCGCCGTTTTTTAAGTGTTTTTCGGCTATAAAAACCAAACCAATTGAGCTAGGATGATGAAATTTCGCGTTTGCCGAGCCAAGGAGATACCCAAAAAGTGTGCCAAATCTCACCGAGATCGGCCGAGCCGTTCAGGAGGAGTAGTGCGGACACACACACACACACACGCGCGCGCGCGCGGACGGACAGACGGACAGGAAAAATTTTTCAACTCCACTGGAGTAACAGGCTTTGCTATCGCTCAGCCAAAAAAAGTTCCGCCAAGGCAAGCTTAGCAAAGCGGTCTTGCCGTGGCCCGGCAGCGGAGGCCGGGCAGAGAGGGGGCAAGGAGGGAGGGGGTGGCTGTGAGGAGTGGGGACTGGCGCGGCGGAGCGGCGCAGGACGACGGCGGACGGCTTATTTAGAGAAGCTCAGCGGGTGAGTTGTGCGGTGGTGCCGAACCCGTTGAGCTTCTCAAAATATGCCGACGGACGACGACGGACGACGGAACCAACACGACCAGCAGTCCCCTCCGAGCGCGCTGAATGGATGGATGGGATGATATGAGTGGGATCGGATGCAGAGCTGCACTGAGATTCGAAACGCTATGAGTAAGGGAGAGTGGGGTAATTCCGGACACGGGGTAATTCCGGACACTTCGATTTTCACTGGGTTTGAGTAAAGATAACTCAAAATCCCGCCTAACAGAGGAAGATAATCAGTTAAAAATGATAATTCCAAATCGCCAAGGTAGGACGTCAAACCGTCTGGCAGTGAACGCTTCACGAAATTGGAGTACCATCAAAAATAGGCAAAAGCTGCATCTTTCCCTCGTATTTCCATGTACTTATCGTACCTTACCGTCAAGTTCAGTCCCATGACTAAAATTTTATCATATTATATGGTCATTGGACTTTACTTTGGCGTTTCAGGAGTGCTCGTATGGCTCGCCGTTTTCTTACATTTGAACATCAAAGGTTTTCACTACCTGTGGGGTAAATCCGGACAAGAGGGGTTATTTTTTTCAATTTCCCGCACAATGTTAAGGTAGTGGGTTCAAAATTGTGGACATGCATCCCCACCGTTCAGAAGGATACCGAAAGAACGAAAAATAGCATTGCACCTATGTTTCAGAGCTTTACTCAAGACAGTGTTGTCAATTTAGGGGTTTTGATAGAAACTATTCCCTATAATATGCTTTGAGCAATAATCAAACACTTCAGTTCGCAGAAAATGGCCTTGTACGCCTTCTAAAAGCATGCCTCACATCAAAACAAGCGAAAGTAAGCTCGAGTAGTGTCAAATTTTAAGGTCGTCCGGAATTGCCCCATAGGTCGTCCGGAATTACCCCAGGCTGGGGCAATTCCGGACACGTGCAGGGCTTTTGTTAGGTAGGGTGCGTCGATATGCACGACTTTTCAGATGCAGCTTTTGGGTAGCACTCAAAAGTTTCGTTTTTTTGTGCTGATTCCATAAATGACCTCGGTTTTGCGATAGGACAAAGCCTTCATGACCCTACCGGGCGTTTTATGTCAAAAAGCGGAGTTTTTGTATTTTTTCTTGTTTTTTGGCTCCGCATTCTATCCCAAACTGTCGGGGCGGCTGTTGCACGGTCGGATGGCCACCGCCTACACTAAATACAAGTTTTGCAGCTTGGCAGGACCACCGGACACCTCACGTGTGTGTCCCAAACCTCAATTTTCACCCTTTTTTCACAACAATTTTTCACTTTTTTCCCTTTTTTTCAGCTTTTATCGAGGATTGTACCGACCCAGTCGGTCTATACCATGACCAGAGGTTGTATAAAACAGTGCAGGGGTACATAGAACGCAAGGCAGCCCCCGGACCGGGGCTGTGTAGGGAGGGGGAGGAGAGAGGGAGGGGAGGCGGAGAAAACAAATGCCCAAAATCGGCCCAAATCAGCTGTTTGGCCCTGTTTTGCCTGTTGGTAAATACTGTATTGCGGTGCTGCTAGCTCGGCAAGTGTTTCTTCCCCTTGCCTACGCAGGACTCACCACGAACAGCGGACCAGCGGCAGTGGTGGGGACTGGCGCGGGGCACCGTGAGACTGTGCCGCCCCTGGCGGACGAAGGACTATGTAGGTGGGTCCGAACGGAAAAAGTGGAAAAAATATTAGTGCGGACATAACTGAGCTTCTTCAATAGTTAGTTTGATTGGTGTTTGTGATTTTAATTTGTAATACAGGGTGAGTTTTCTCAATGTGTCAATAATTTGCAGGCAGTTTGGGCATCCCTAGGGGACCATTTTTCACCAATGAACTAGTGGGCGCAAACGTCTAGATACGGAGATAATTGGTGTTTTGAATTTGGATTTTGCGCCTACAAGGTAGGCACCCGGTGCCACTGAGGGTGGCAGGACCTGTCGAGGGGGTGTCGCGGGACTAGCAGTACTCGCGGGAGTGCCACTTACCTCGCGGAAGTATCCGTGGAATCCTGCCACCCTCGCAAAGACAGCCGTGAGATCCACTGTAACGGGGGCCACCATGACAGCCCCTTGAGACCCGCGGCAACCCCTCCCAAAAGACATTTGAAAGGTCCGCCGCACCCCTTCGAGACCCGAAGCACCCCTCCTAGACCCGCGACACCCCCACGTGAGGTCCTGCGCCCATCAGTGGCACCGGGTGCCTACCTCGCAGGCGCGAAGGCTAATTACAAAACACCAATTATCTCCGTACCTAGACGTTTGCGCCCACTAGTTCATTGGTAGAAAATGATCCCCTTGGGGTGCCCAAACTACCTACAAATTATTTGACACATTGAGAAAAACTCACCCTGTAGACCGTGTGAAGATGTTTACAGATGTTTTAAGCCGATGAGGTGGTTTTCACATGTACATGAGACTACACATACATTGTCACACACGTAACAAGTCGCTCCCTTCTTAGGCTCACTGCTTGCCTCTGTTGGATCCAGACCATGTCTGGAGCGCATGTGCCTGTACAAGGTTTTCTTGTGTTCATATGTAGCTGGACACCGGAGGCCAGACAAGAAATTTTTTATAGAGAAATGATCAAAGAAGTCTAAGGCAGCCAGTGTTGTTACTCACAGTGAACATGCTTCCTTTGAGTACATCTTCACAGGTTGACCGACAGAACAGAAATGACCGATAATCGCGCGCTTTTCCCTAACATTTGTTTTGCTACTTGCTTCTTTTGTTCTGACAACTTAATTAGGGTCAGTTGGGGTTCTTATGGGGCATGGGGTAAAAATGGGACAGCTGATTTTTAGTCAAGAATCGAGATTTTAGAACTTGTGCCGTAGCAAAAATTGTTTTCTCAATAAAAACATCACATTTGGTATGTAATGCGTTCAAAAATGTCAAATCTTGACTAAGAATCAGCTGTCCCATTATTACCCCGTGCCCCATGATTACCCAACTGACCCTAGTTCGCTCCTTTTCAAGCGGTGTCTTCCCTTCCCGGGCCAGTTTGAAATTTCGCGTCTCACGGTGCCCCGCGCCAGTCCCCACCACTGCCGCTGGGGGCGCTCCGATCGGCGGTGCTGCGGCATCTTCCTGCGCGTATCCACTCGTAGCGGACGCGCTCGTGGTGAGTCCTGCGTAGGCAAGGGGAAGAAACACTTGCCGAGCTAGCTGCACCGCAATACAGTATTTAGCTACAGGCAAAACAGGGCCAAACAGCTGATTTGGGCCGATTTTGGGCATTTGTTTTCTCCGCCTCCCCTCCCTCTCTCCTCCCCCTCCCTACACAGCCCCGGTCCGGGAGCTGCCTTGCGTTCTATGTACCCCTACACTGTTTTATACAACCTCTGGTCATGGTATAGACCGACTGGGTCGGTACAATCCTCGATAAAAGCTGAAAAAAAGGGAAAAAAGTGAAAAATTGTTGTGAAAAAAGGGTGAAAATTGAGGTTTGGGACACACACGTGAGGTGTCCGGTGGTCCTGCCAAGCTGCAAAACTTGTATTTAGTGTAGGCGGTGGCCATCCGACCGTGCAACAGCCGCCCCGACAGTTTGGGATGGAATGCGGAACCAAAAAACAAGAAAAAATACAAAAACTCCGCTTTTTGACATAAAACGCCCGGTAGGGTCATGAAGGCTTTGTCCTATCGCAAAACCGAGGTCATTTATGGAATCAGCACAAAAAAACGAAACTTTTGAGTGCTACCCAAAAGCTGCATCTGAAAAGTCGTGCATATCGACGCACCCTATTGTTAGGCGCCTATATCTCCCTAACCGTTGCTGAGATTTGGCTTTCATGTATATCATTTTGAAGGTGAAGGTCCATACTTTACTAACCTGTGATAACATTTGACCCAAGAAGCATATTCAAGCTCAAAGACCAAAAAGAAAAAAAACGTCCGGAATTACCCCACTCTCCCTTATAGCACGTATGGTGCAATGCGCTGAGATATTGCACCTTACGTGCAATGCCACAGCCATATTGCACCTTTAGTGCAATGCTTCCATGCCCTATGCTAATGCATGGGAATTGGGAGGCATTGCACTTCATGTGCAATGCTTTTGCATTGCACCAATTGACGCTATACTCATAGCGTTTGGATTCTCAGTGTAGAAGCGGTAGCAAGACCGCTTAAAAATCAGTGTTCTTTTCATCAATGGTAAATGATTCTGCAGAGCCTGACCGACTGATTTCACGCCATGTAAAGTTCGTTCTTGTGACTTTCAGGTTCCGCCCCTGGCGCTGCGGCTGGTGCTGGACTACCTCTCCGCGAAGGACGTGGTGTCGTGCGGCCAGGTGTGCCAGGAGTGGCGCTGCGTGGCGCAGGCGGCGGACTTGTGGCAGTATAAGCTGCGTACTCAGCAGGACATCGACGGGTTGAAAGAACTCCTGCGCGTCATGAGATTTGCGCCTTCGGGGATCGCTATCACTGTGAACGAGCTCGCCAGCATAGACTGCCGCTCGAGTCTGTTCGAGGCTTTCGTGGAGGCGATGCGGGAGACAAAAGTGCAGGTAGGACTCCACTGTGGCCAAAACGAGGGGGCAACCACTCTAGAAATCTTGTGTCCCCTTAGCGCTAGAAATCTCTGGGAAATCTGAAATCTTGCCCCAAAAGGCCATGAACAAGGTAATTTTGGGTGGAACATCGGTTGAAATCTTGCGAAATCCGACGAAATCTTTAGCCTTAAGATCTAATGTGGTTGCCCCCCGTCAGGGATAGGCGCGGGCCTCCATAGGAAAAGGGGAAATGCTGATCGAGGTACAGGGGCGTTCCACGTCAAACCATCATGGTCCAAAACGTACTTGCTCAGATCCGGCCCCCAATTTTTTATATGGTAGTGTACCACCCAAAGACCACTCTCATAAATTTTTTTGAAAAAAAATTCAGAACTTTGGCCGCAGTGATTTTTTGAAACTTCAAAAAAAAAAACTATAAATTTTTTTTCAGTTTTTTTTAAATTGTGTTTCTAGGTGCTCAAATGGGTTGAAAACAGTAAAGGGCAACATAAAATAGTGAAAAAAAAATTGGGACCCCCAGCCCTTACCAGAAACAAAGTTTACGACAAAAAAAAAACACGGTTTCCTGAATTCCCAAGATAGTACGCCGTCTCACTTTTGGACCATATTGACATCAAAGGACCCCAATGAGGTACTCTAACTGTCACTAAAAAATCAGGGACGGCAATCCATAAACACCAGAGATATTGTCAAAAAACTCAAAAAGTTATCGAAGCTTTTTCCCCCAAAATTGTCGAAATGGGACCTATATTGGTTCCGCTGAGGCACTGTGCATTGAAATACTTTTCAATTGTCTGTCTTAAGACCATGGAAGATGTGAGAGAGGTGAAGGTCAGCATTACAAGAGTTTTGGAATTACACGGCAATAAGTTTTTTTAATTATAATAACCAAATGCGACAAAATGCATTGTTTGGCAGTCGCCAACTGAAGCTCATTGATTGGTGGGGACTTCACCCAGGTCATCTTCACCTTGACCATGCAACTGCTGGAGACTTAAAAGAAGAAAATGAAGATGACCCGGATGAAGTCCTCACCAATCAATGAGCTTCAGTTGGCGACTGCCAAATAATGCATTTTGTCGCATTTGGTTATTATAATTAAAAAAACTTATTGCCGTGTAATTCCAAAACTCTTGTAATGCTGACCTTCACCTCTCTCACATCTTCCATGGTCTTAAGACAGACAATTGAATAGTATTTCAATGCACAGTGCCTCAGCGGAACCAATATAGGTCCCATTTTGACAATTTTGGGGGAAAAAGCTTCGATAACCTTCGATAACTTTTTGAGTTTTTTGACAATATCTCTGGTGTTTATGGATTGCCGTCCCTAATTTTTTAGTGACAGTTAGAGTACCTCATTGGGGTCCTTTGATGTCAATATGGTCCAAAAGTGAGACGGCGTATTTTGGGAATTCAGGAAACCGTGTTTTTTTTTGTCGTAAACTTTGTTTCTGGTAAGGGCTGGGGGTCCCAATTTTTTTTTTCACTATTTTATGTTGCCCTTTACTGTTTTCAACCCATTTGAGCACCTAGATACACAATTTAAAAAAAAACTGAAAAAAAAATTTATAATTTTTTTTTGAAGTTTCAAAAAATCACTGCGGCCAAAGTTCTGAATTTTTTTTCAAAAAAATTTATGAGAGTGGTCTTTGGGTGGTACACTACCATATGAAAAATTGGGGGCCGGATCTGAGCAAGTACGTTTTGGACCATGATGGTTTGACGTGGAACGCCCCGCTCCCAATTTTATCCCGCAACCCCTGGCGCCCCCAAGCACCACGCCGCGACCCAACAAAAAAGTTTTGCGACCCAAAATGGGGTTGCGATCCCAAGGTTGGGAACCGCTGGCATATGCATTGTGAGTAACGACTAAAATTCTTCCAGTGCAGGGACCTGACTCTTTGCCGGAACCGCCAACACAGGGCCTCCTGCGACGCCGTTCTGGGCACCATGGCGCCCGGCCTGGAGGTCCTGACTTTGCCCGACGCCACCGGAGACCAGCTGTGGGCCGTCTCTGGGGACAAGGCCCCCTCGCTGCGGGAGCTGACGCTTGAAGTAGAAAATGACGAGGAGTACGCCGGGCTTCTAAACATCCTCGGCGCGTGCCGTTTTCCGGCTTTGCAGGGACTCTACTTTGAACGTGAAGACAACGACGTAAGCACACCCTGGAAACTTGACTTATTAGTTTTTGGCTTTGCAATCAAAAGTAGCTTGCTTTGAGCATATGAGCTTCACTCTTAGACTCGTTTTGACTTTTTCCTCACCATTATTGACTTTTCGTCCTTTGCTTACGTAGTTTTTTAAAGAGCAAAAATATGTAATATTTTCTTTGTAACCATGTACAATATCGTTCACTATGAAGACTAAATTGTCGTCAATTATTGACTATTTTTGAAATAAATAGCGTATTGACTCTTTGTCAAGAGCAAATTGACTTTAAGTCAATATAACGAACGAAATCTTACATAGATATTGAGGGAATACTACTTTTTATTGCTGTGTAAAATACTCTTTAACAAAGGGCAAAAAGTCAACAATAGTCTGAGAGTTCACGAAGGAAATACTTCATCATTTACGAAGTCGTTCTTCGTACAACAAACAGCTTATACTTTACATTTGCTCAAAATACTTCGTCAGGTTTTAGTCGCACTCAAAGCGAGAAAAAAGCTAATAATTCGTCAGTGACACCGTTTTTAATCAACGAATGTGGCGCCATTTTTGTTTCCTGCTTCGTATTATTTGAATGTCGATCCACGTTGAAACGACAGTGACATGCAAAGAAAACGACCGTTTAGCCGTGTCACGCTTCAATGAATGTGATTTCTGGCCCGTCCCGTGTATTTTTTGGAAAAAAGAACAAAAAACGGAGGGACGGGTATATAGTATGATGCATGCTGTGCGTCCGTTCGTTCGTCCGAGGACTTCCCGTGGTCCGATCTTCGCCACATTTGGTACACGCTAAAGTCCTTACGGATAGTTTTGTGCAGCCATATTACGGATCGAATTTTATTTGTAATACGGATGTTTTTGTCCGCACTGCAGGAAATAACCACAACAAAAGTACACAAATTTCTGGCAAATTTTTTATCAGGTTTTTGTTGTACTTTCAAAGTTCAACAATTGTTGTACAAAGTACAATGGAACCGGCATGACGAGTGCTGGGCAGTCCCGGCCTCGTTGTGGTTTGTACAATTCTCGTTGTACTTTCCACATTCCCTGTTGTACTTTTATTGTACAGTTTTTGTTGTACATTTGTTGTACTATTCACACTTTTTCTTGCAGTGCGTAATACAAAGATTTGGGAATCCGTATGTTACAACGAAATTATCTGTAAATTACGGACTTCAAAACCTTTGTATTACGGACAAAAATATCCGTATTACAAACAAAATTCGATCCGTAATATGGCTGCACACCGTAACCTACAAACACGCTATCCGTAAGGACTTTACTGTGTATGCAGCCTCCTTGGGTGATCCTAAGAACCACTCGGTGGCAGCAAATCCGATCCGAGCCCCGGGGACGCTGCTGCAAGTGCATCATGGTGTCTACATGGGGTCGAGGATTTCGGCAACGAATACAGCTAGAAGGGCACGTATGGGTATTTTTGGAATCGGGCTGACGAAATAAAACCAATGGTGCCAGTTTCGAGCCAATCGGAGAAGTTTGGACCCGGGTTCAAATTCCAGTGGGGTGTATTCCGATTATCTTATTATTCACGTTTTTGCATTGTTTCCCATGTTTCTAAGGGCGCTGATGACGAAAATATCTTTCCATTTTGACCCAAGACTCAGGATTAAATCCCGTCAGGGTTAAACATAGATGAAATTCGCACATTTCTAAATGTACGGGACGGGCCAAAGTTGCCGATGAGTATTGCTACTTTTCCTGTTACTTTTTCAAACAAACGTGACAAAAGTTACATTTTAGCGAATATGAAGACACGATTAAACAGGGCAAATATTTGACTATATCTGTGGGTGGGTTGTATTCCGTCAGCTGTCAGCAGCGCTGCTGGTCCGCTGTCGCTGCCATTTGTCAACTCTTTTTCTCCTGCACTCGGCAACTAGTAGAGGAGATCCATTACACTGAGAATGAAAAAGTCATGATCAATACCCATTTTTGGGCGAGGTTTACTTTCTCACCCAAATTTGGGCGAGGAACGTTTCCTCGCCCAATTGTGGGTGACGAAGGGTGTATCAGCTCCCTTAGCTCCACAGTATTATGACCCAAATTTGGGCGAGGAAACTTTCCTCACCGAAATTTGGGCGAGGAAAATTTCCTTACCCAAATTTGGGTAATAAAGAATTCCTCTCCCAAAATTTTACACTGCAAACCTAACTGTCTACTAAGTACACACTTACAAATGCATGCTTGCAAGTACACACTTACAAACGCATGCTTGCGACGCCGTATAACTCTATGCGTCAAGCATGCGTTTGTAAGTGTGTGCTTGCAAGCATGCATTTGTAAGTGTGTACTTGGCCAAGCATGCGTCTGTAAGTGTGTACTTGCAAGCATGCATTTGTAAGTGTGTACTTAGTAGACAGTTAGGTTTGTAGTGTAGTCATGATCATGACTCTTTCATTCTCAGTGTACGTAAAGTCATTTTTACAATTTTAAATGCAAACTTGTAGAAGTAAACTTAAGTGATCAAGTTCAAGGTCTACCACTGAAGGAAAATGCTTATTGGGAACACTGCAAACCTAACTGTCTAAGTACACACTTACAAATGCGTGCTTGCAAGTACACACTTACAAACGCATGCTTGGCCAAGTACACACTTACAAATGCATGCTTGCAAGTAGACACTTACAAACGCATGCTTGACGCCGTATAACTCCATGCGTCAAGCATGCGTTTGTAAGTGTGTACTTGCAAGCATGCATTTGTAAGTGTGTACTTGCAAGCACGCATTTGTAAGTGTGTACTTAGTAGACAGTTGGGTTTGTAGTGAACTCGTCTCCGTGTCAAATTTCTCACTCTAAAGACGGCCAGTTAAAAACTAACAACATTTTTTGACCGGTTTTCCTGTTTTCAGTGTGGCCTTCGGAGGTGCTACGCCAAGATCGCGCGCTTAAAAAAGAAGTTGCAGAAGCATTCGACTGCAAGCGTTCAAGTAATGTGCTTCTCTTGCGAACATTACGCGGCGGCCTTTGATAGTTATCCTGAAAATGACGATGTCGAGAACGATTTCTACAATTATTTTGATTTCTGAAGTTTTGGTGATGTTCACACTATAAACGTCCATGGAAAATTTTGGTGACGGTAGCCAGACACTATTTTGTGCATTACCAAATCAGAAGACAGAATTAAACCAGCTTAGTAACAATTTACTGGCCGGTTTTGATTTTGTCACCAGATCTGGTAATGCTCAATTGATTCTAGTTGCTAACAAAACGTGTCCATAGACATTTAGTTTGTATTGGATGCCCGATGATGATTGTGAGAGAGTGGCTTCAATTGCACAGATGATGTCTATGAACGTCAAGGAATTTCATTACTTGTAAGACGGAAATGTTTGAATTATATGCTGAAATATATAAGTGTCTACATTAGTAGTTTCCTCTCTCCTGAAAAAAGGTTTAGGCACCCGTGAGTTCTGAATGTGTTGATCTGCCATGCCTTACTTGTGAGATTTAATATGCGCACTGAAAACCGTGTGTGTTCAGATCACTCCTCGAAAGGCGTGCTTGTCACGACTATCATTCTGAGAAACATTGAAATAAATATACCATCCAGTCCTTCTGGCAACTCGCTTTCACCCTCACCTTGGCCTTGCGCTATCGTCTTTCGTCGAAATGGGGCACACATCCAGTCCTGCGACGCGTCTAAACACCTTAACCAGCCCGCGGTTGGCTGCACCGAGTTCCTTGACGTCTAGGTCACTGGAGAGTGAGAGTGCGACCGCGAAGGCACGCTGCCACGTCCACGCTGGCGGGGCCGCACTGCGACCTTGCAAGGTAAGTGCACTGTGAAATCAAGTGGAGTGGGCTCCACTCTTCGAATGCGGAGGTGTAAATTTTCGGTGTCGGCACTCGGAAGTCTCCACTGAGATACCAAACGCTATGAGTATAGCACGTATGGTGCAATGTAGCTGAGATATCGCACCATACGTGCAATGCCTCAGCCATATTGCACCTTACGTGCAATGCGTCCCCAAAATGTCCTATGCTAATGCATGGGAATGGGAAGGCCTTGCACTTCATGTGCAATTGACGCTATAGCGTTTGGATTCTCAGTGTCTACACTTCAAATACGGAGTTCTCCACTTTTGCGCCACACTGTGGGAAAAAATCACAGTAAATCCTGTACACACTAAATTCTTGTGGACTTTTTTATGCATAGTTATGCATGCTCAGAAACGTCGATATGTTATGCATAATATTATGCATCACTGTGTACATTTTATGCAGGAAGATGCATAAAATGTACACAGTGATGCATAATTTTATACATAACATATGGACGATTCTGAGCATGCATAACTATGCATAAAAACTGCGTCTTTATGCATTTAAAAAGTCCATAAGAATTTAGTGTGAAGTGGTTAGTACAGCTGGCACTGTAGTTCAGAGTACAGGATTTACCGTACTTTTTTGACAGGATCTACTGTACTTTGTACGGGATTTACTGTACCACAGGAGTGGAGTACGGAATATCCTGTTCCAGGTACAGTAAATACTGTGGCCAGGCACAGTAGATCCTGGGTTCCAAACTACAGTAAATCCCGGCAAAAAATTAACGGGATTCACTGTGGTTTTTTCGCACAGTGCATGCCAAGGGGCAGTGGATCTGAGAGCTCTCCACATTTGAAGTATGGAGACTGCAAACTCTGCATTTTAAAGTCTGCATTTAAATTTCTCCGCACCAGGAAGTTTGGAACTCGAGTTCTTCACAAGTGGATTGCTAGTGGACACACAGCGCCCGAGTGACTCACAGTTATTCAACGAATTAGTCGTCATATTCGCTAGAATGGGAATTCTGTCACTTTCTTTTTATCTTGGATCACAATTCAAATGAATGTGACACCATATTCAAACGAGAGGTTAAAATCTACTTTTTATCGAATATTACGTACTACGTACGTACCATTCGTTGAATAACATGGTAGGTCTTTCAGTTGAACAGCATATCACTGCGTGTTGCCCAGGGCCTCTGTCAGGGCTCCTGCACTGCTCGGGCTCGGCCCCAACAGCTCCACTTCCAGTGACAAAAACATCGTCCGCCTGACATTGAAGAAGCCCGACGCGGACTTGCGCACTTCGCGGGCGCTACTCTGCATGGGATGGTGAAGCTCCGACGGGTGATTGACGTCATCGACCGGACGCACTGCGAATCCTAGTGTGGGACAGGCATGCGCTAGATTACGTGGGACAAACTGTCCCACGCTATAGATTATGTGGGACAAAGTGTTCCACGCTTGCAAGGGTGGGACACGGTTTGTTCCACGCTTGCAAACGTGGGGCAGTTTGTCTCACGCTTACAAGCGTGGGACAGTTTGTCCCACGTTATCTAGTGCATGCCTGTCCCACACACAAAATCTATGTGTGTACTCAGTACACACTTCTAGGTGCGTGCTTACAAGCATGCAGTTCGAGGTATGCACTTGCCTAAGCACGCACCTAGAAGTGTGTACTTGAATGAGTACACACTTAAAAGAGTGTACTCAGTGAGTACACACTTGCGAGGGGCTTGCGCGGCATAGGGAAAACGCAACGCATGCACTTCTGTGGGTGTACTGAGTACACACTTTAAGGGGAGGTTCTGGTGAAAATCTTGCCATTTTCCAAATAGACCCCACTGTCATAATTTGTTCGTAATATAAAATCTTTCTTCGAGGAGACTAAAATTTGACTTTTGAAGGCACATGCCAGGTTCTTAACCCTGTCGAAGAGTCTTTTTGAGCCTATTTTGGCTGTATCTTAAAAATCTTCTTGCGCATACTATTTTGTCGTAAAAGGTTGGCCTTGACATTTTTCGCTTCTTCGATTCATTTTCAAAAGATCCCGGCATGCATAGCTCAATATTTCCATTATATTAATAATAGCAAGCTTTTTTAAGCTGAAAAGTCCCTAAAATTTGTCTATTTTGTACATTTTTGATCAATTATAGTGAAATGCTTGGTTAGAAAGCTTGCGAATAAAAATTTAATTTACATTTTGAGTTGTGCATGCCGGCATCTTTTAAAAATGAATCGAAGAAGTGAAAAATGTCAAAGCCTACCTTTTACGACAAAATAGTATGCTCAAGAAGATTTTTAAAGTTATAGCCTAAATAGGAGAAAAAGGCTCTACGACTGGGTTCAGGGCATAGAATGTGCCTCCCTAATAACTTTTTTTAATAATTACTTGATAAGACATCGAATTTTTAAGAAATTTTGACAGTGGGACCTATTTAGGAGAAAATAGAATTTTCACCAGAACCTCCCCTTAAAGTGTGTACTCATTCATATACACACTTCTAGGTGCGTGCTTAGGCAAGTACACACCTCGAAGTGCATGCTTGAAAGCACGCACCTAGAAGTGTGTACTGAGTACACACACAGATTTTGTGTGCACACTTGGATTCGCAGTGCGATCAATGCGTGACGATGAAAACTTCTTAATATCCATGCGATAAAAATCAAGATGACAGCGGGGTCATCCACAAAATGGTCTGCACATCACGAAAAATGAAAAAGTCTTCATCAACACCCAAATTTGGCCGAGGTCTTTTACATCTAAATTTGGGCAAGGTATACTGTCACTCCAAATTTAAAGGCGGTAATATTTCCACCCTTTACTGGCGGTAATTTTGTATTGGCGGTGTCCACGTTTTACCGCCAATACGAAAGCGGTACAGAAATTACCGCCCTAACTGAACCGTTTGTACCTCCTTTCGAGAGCTTTACCGCCTTTTTCTTGGCACTCTGAGGGAACGTTACTGGGGTAATATTTTGTACCTCCTTTTACGCACTGTCTAAACGGCGCCCAATGGGCGGTAATATACTGTACCGCCGTTTTCCTTCGGTTTGTAGGGTGCGTAATTGGCGGGCTCCAGATTTTACCGCCAATACGAAAGCGGTACGCGTTTTACCTCCTTCGCCACACCGTGTGTACCGCCCATAGATTTGTAGTGTTATCACCCAAAGGCTTCCTCGCCCAATTTTGGGTGCTAAAGGAAGTCAGCTGCCCGCTGCCCATATGGCCTGACAGTAGGATTCTCGCCCAAATTTGGGCGATAATAACTTGTTAAAAATTTTATCGAATTTTATAGGTAAGATTTTGACTCCTTTATTCTCCGGGCAGGTTTAACAACGTCAAATAGATCGAATTTTTGATCCACAAGCAGTTGATATCCATAGGGATGATTGTTCTTTAATATCTTCAAAAGGTGACAACATCTCAACCAACGCAGCTTGTCAGGAGAAAGAGGCATATCTCTTGCATGCCATAAAATAATAATGATAATTCGATAAGATGATGAACAAAAGATCTTTGCAGCGCTACAGACTTACATATCTTCAAATGAAAGCCTACAAAGATGAGAACTCAGTGGATTTATAACACAAGTTTGAGACGTTAAATGATCAATAGAGAACAGAATGAGAGTCTCTTTTCAGCAACGACATTAACAAGCTTCAAAACCAGTCCTAGAATCAAAATTGTTCGCGTCCACATAAAGGCACTCAGAACAAGAAACTCAGCACACAGGCAGCTACATAGTGGCAATGCTCTTCATGAATATATGTATATAAAATTTTTGCCAGTAATTTATAAACTGATGTGTATTTCTTCCCCGATATGCTTCACGCCACAGCATTCATTCTTCGGGTGGCTGAACAGCGTGCACCTTGAACTTGCCGGCAAGTCATGGCAGGTGTGCTCCAGACAATATTGAGAAACGGATCCAAGATCATGGAAGGAGTTCATCAACAAGTGTAGCCGTGGGCACCGCCCCAAGACGGCCCTGACTTGCTCGCCGTGGATCCACTCGTGGGGGCAACGCTCTGGCGAGTTGAAGGACAGCTGCTCCAGGTTGGGCAGTGCGTCGCCGTCCAGTGCATCAAGGAGATCATTCGACATGTTGGGGACGTGCAGGGTCACGAGGGCCTTCAGGCGGTGGAGAATGGCGGCCAGAGGGGGCAGCGTCGCTTGCAACGTCGATATGTCATCGTCCTCATCTTTAAGGGTCAAGCTCCGCAGAGTCTGTGCGGCGTGTCGCGAGCCCGCCAGACTTAACACCAGGTTGGTGGCTTTGCCGCGATACTCACTGTCAGAGAACTCCAAAACGAGCTCCTCCAGGCGCGAGACGGCCGCGCGAAGGTACTCTGCCACTCCGAGTGTAGAGGCTTTTGGAGACGAGTCCAGGTTGACGAGAAGGTGCACCTTCTTCAGCGAGGGGCACTGCAGCAGCGCCGGCATGTCCTCCAGCAAGGTGCACTGTAACTCGCGCAGGCGAGGCAAGGCGGCGAGCAGCGGTGTCACGCCGGGATGGTACACCCGCAGTTCCACCACCTGCCAACGCAAGAGGCACGAGTAAATTTCCATTCACGCCAATTTTTGGCCTGACTTTCTGTCACTCCATTATTTGACCATGTGTCCAACTATTAAATTTTCAGTGTATGCTCAAAATACTTTGTCATAAGAAGCTGCGAAAGGCCTAAAATTATTTGTAAGATTTTCTGAGTGTGCCCCAATTAGCCCGAAATACATCCGACAATGGAAATTTATTCACCCCCTCCCCCCCCCCCCCAAAAAAAAAACACGATACTTTAAGTTTTCCTATCAAAATATTTCACAGGTTCATTTTAGTCCTCAATAATAAATAGAGAGGATGCTTAGTGAATGCTTGAAAAAATAATTTGGTTTTTGCTTTGCTTGGGCATTTTAAAAGATACCCTCCCAATCTGTTGTCACAAATTTCAGGCAGTTGTCCAAGCAGTGTATTTTGAACTAACCTCCAAAGTGGCTGCATGCCACTCGAGGTGGCGGGGCAGACAGGGGTCCCTCAACGTGGAACAGTACACCAGCTTCCGAAGGGACGCTGGTACTGGTGCGGCACTTTTGGCAGCGTTGAGAAGAGGGGATTTCCCTTTCATGATGTCAGCAGGGTCAGCACCAATGTTAATAACAATCGATTCCAATCCTAGACGAGGCAAATCTATTAAAAGGGGTAGCAACCCTAAACGTCTAAAAAAAAAGAAAAACAACCTTTTTGTTAACTGCTTATTTATAGAATATTTTCTTTTCATTCTGTGTGTGAGTTGATGACCTTTCAGTTATAAAAAGTAGATTAAAATCGGTGTACTTTTCAGCCAGGGGACCACATTTCCATGTATTTAAAGCCTAGATGGCAAGCATTCCATTTTGATCTGCATGAACTCTCATTTTTAAACTGGTGCGTAGCTCTTCAGCCTTTTGACTGGGCCACTTTCTGTGTAGATAACAAATTTTACTGTGATGCTAACTGATCCAGGAAGCGGAAGAAGGGGATAACTCAAGTTTGGCCATTTTCCAGGGGAAACAAAAAACTGATTCCAGGGAAAACTAAAACCAAACAAAGGAATGATATATATGATAAGAAGCTCAAGAAACATAAGTTAAATTTGGAAATGAACATGAGGAGTGTCAGGTCACTGCGCATCAGATTTCTGCGACTTATTACTTTCCGTTTAAATGGAGAACAGTCATCTAACTTGTATTTCCCAACCGAAGAGGAATTTAGAGACAAGTGGAGTGGAACTATAGTCAGCAGAGAGTGTTGGTTCCTCTGGTGTATTAGGGGTTAAGTTGACTTGATTCTTTTTGCAACCAACACAAAAAAAACACAAGTTGAGTTATCTCTTTTTGACGAAATTTTCAACAGAGACATGTTGACTTTGGTTGAGTTGTTTCCATATTCCGCTAAATTGAGAGAGTTATATATAAGTTATATCTTTTCTTACAAAGTGGATTTTCTCCTTAACTGCAGGTAACTGGGTCCAATGATTTGGTGCTATGATGCAAACCATTCTAAGGCACAATAATAGAATAAAACTAAATTTGAATATGTGTTGAATTATTCCCTTCTTCCGCTTCCTGGATCAACTGATGCTTTTATCTGATGCTTTTTACTGGTCATTTTTTTAACAGGCTGCTTTTAGTTTCTGGTTCATGCCATTCCGGGTCATGTCACCAGCACAAAGAAGTATTTTAAGTAACAAAACATAAATGTGCATACTCAAAACACCAAATCTTCAACAAAAAATTATTTTAAATCGGTATTTTACAAGACGTTCCACCTGACCTAACCTAACGTAGGCCTTAATATCAATTAGATATTTATATATTGTTGTTCTTTGCTTCTCGTTTACCTTACAACTAAATGTACCACCTTAGCTGAAAAGAACACTTTTACATTCCTTTTTCCACAACCAAAAGGATATCAACTCATACACATTTTAAAAAGAAAGTATCTAAAAAGTTAAAAGTTATAATTTGACAAAGTTCTTGTTTTGAATGTAAAAGGTTGCTTCTTGATTCCAACACATCTACAAGGCAGCTTGCAGCAAAAATAAAAACTAATGTCACAGGAGGGAATTCCCTGTTGAGGAATTCCCTCCTGTGACATTAGTTTTTATTTTTGCTAACAGCATATGTTTAAATACTGAACATTAACTCACCTTGAGTGTGGAGCAGAAATTCTAGGAGCTGATGAACTTTGCTCAGAGACTTTTTGTTCACTTCGTCGCAGGAATATACATTAAGATGTTTTAGTTTCCCCAGGGCAGCCTGCCTGAAACGAAAGACACTCGAAAAACTACTGAATAGGTACGTTTTAGACATCTTGAAGCTGTTAAAGAAAACAGTGTTCTGCATTTCACATTCAAGACTATAACATGATTTAACATTATTTGTTTGACTTAGTGAGCCAAAACCATCTCCACAAAACAGAGTAAATACTGAAATTTTAAAAATTAGTCTGGAACTTCGTTCCAGTTACGTTCGTTTGAACGTGACTCGGCCGTTAAAGTAGGGTGTCATATCCGTTTGAACGTGGATCAACAATCAAACGAATGTGACATTATATTCAAAACGTGACAAAATTCACTTTCGAACAAATATGACGTCACATTCGTTGGCTACCAGTGATTGACGTTACTGCATTCCGCAAATTAATAAACGTTACTTCAACTAAGGTAGGTAAAAAATGAATTGTGGGTCACATTTTTGATAATTCCAAATTAAGGCCTTTAATTATGACCTGGTGACAAAAGTGCATGTGCAGCCTTTAACTATGGTCCTTGGACTAAGTTTTGCAGCATAGTAGCCCCGTCTATCATCCTTCTTTACTAAGCTGTGGCTGTTTTAAAAATAGTGTCTGTTTTGGCCCACAATTGATTTTTGGAACCAGTTGTGGGTCAGCATTGTAGAAAGCTCAAATTTGGATATGATTTGCTTAAATACGAGAGAAATTCACTTCTGAATTTATTTTTCGGAATCGTGAAAACTGCAGGATCTATAGCACAATGAATCAATTGTGGGTCATATCAATTGTTGGCCATTTCGTCTTTTTGATTGTAAATTGACCACTTTTGCCAGATATTTTCTTATTTTCATTTTTTGAAGGCCCCTGGTTCTCAATAAACCAAGCAGGCACGTTTTTCACTCAAAGAGGAAAATGCATGAACAGGCCAATCTCACTGTGAGACAGATGTGAGTTAAACGTCCTGGATTAGAGACGAAATTTTTATAGTGCATATTCTAGGGCCGCCAGTGTGGTAGACAATCCAACACCACACCCTGTCATCGTGATGTAAGTTATTGCTACAGTATATTATCTATTTCAATCAAAATATTTAGTCTGTAGGGATTGTTTTGACTCGTCATAACAGGGCCGGACTGGCCTGGGGTGCCTAGCCTGCACTTGCAGAGCGGTCCCCTTCCGGGCGCTATGTAAGCCCCAACAAAAAGAAAAGCCTTATGGCAGACTGGAAGAGCTGGCGTTGTCATTCGGGGCTGTAGCCTGAGCTTAACGTAACCTCCGCATCGTAGTACTAAATGTGACGGAGCAGAAAAATGGTATTTACTGTGATACATCAGTCATTCAAAAGCGCAGAAAAGAAAAAAAAATCAGAAAAACTACCGTGAAATTCGTCTAAAATAATGGGTCTGGCATTGTAGCGAACGCTACTTTGCCATCACCCGCGCACCATGGCATCGAATGATTTCGTTTGTACTATGGTAGATAAATATTCCCTGACCTATTATGAACCTAAATCAGCAAGGGCGTCCCGTTTTATCTCGTAATAGCTTCACGGTGGCAATTTAAAAAACACACGATTTTTCGCCTCGTTGGATGGGCGCCATTTTCACGACTTTTTGAAGAGCCTTCCTTTGAAGCCTGATAGGAGCCGTTACAGTCGTCGCTCGGACATACACGCTATTTGGGGAGACAAATAAAGGTTGGAAGAAGGTCTACCGCGAAATTCAAATCGATTCGATCTCCATCGGGTCTGCGGTGACCCGTCGAAAAAAATGACCCACAATTGATTCATGACCCACAATTGATTTTTAGGGGTTCCCAAGAACCCCTATTGTCCGAGGTCCGTGGATTCTTCCCCCCCCCCCTCTCCGATTTTCAAATAAACAACTCTAAACTATTTCAACCATAAAAAAAACGAAAATTCCAATTTTTTTCGAAAATTCATCGTGGAAATTTTCCGTAAACGCGAAAAACATAAATTTGCAACAATCGAAAACGAGAACCGTTAATGATATGAAAAAATGGTTCAAATAAAAAATGTGCCACTCCTCAAAACTAAACCTCCTGGCTCATCAAAGTAACAAGAAATCGTATATGTTCTGAGCAAATGGTCAAAACATGAAAAAAAATCTCCATGGCAACGGCATGGTCCCATCGTACCACCCGTCAAAATTTAAAGTCGCCCATTAAAAAAAATCTAAACGCCGTGAAATTTGAAAAATGCTAATGCTTACACATTGCACGGTGTCTCAACGTTGGAACATCTTTAAAGTCTGTCACTACTAAAAAGTTCGTAGCAGAAACGACGCATCAAACTAATTTTCGTGGGTTGGCACCAATATGCTTCCCGTCTGCGCCCTTTCGAAAATCGCGAGGCTGAAAGAACGAACAGGCGCCCATTGAAACTGCCCCTCCATTGTTGCTGAGGTTGGATTGTTTGGCATGCTCTCAAAGGCTGCGGTTGTCTTGTCATGTTTTCCTCGATTTTCGACCAGTTATGGAAACGGGAACACCGTGCAATGCGATTAGCATTGGAATTTTTTACCTTAGTAATGTGGTTCAGCCGTACCGAAACTAAGAGCACACAATTATTTTTTTCTACTCATTCCAGAAAACAGGAGACTGAACATTAGACATAAGAGAGGAACAGAAAATAATTCAAAAGGCCAATGTTTCAGGAGGAAGCATAAAACCAGCAAAAAAAAACCTCTCTTCCAAGTCCAATAGCCTTGGAAACTACTTGAGGTAATTCGGAGAGGGACAGTCAGTAATGGTCTGATGGAGCCTTTCCTATCACAAGGCTTTTAATCAAAGACTGTTAATGTATTTAAGGAAAAGTGGCTAGCCATTGCGCATTTGTCCTACAAACTACAGAACAGATGTGCGTGGGCCTGCAAGCAATGTGCCTACGCAACAAAAACATTTAGGGTTTGGCAGGAAAACTTCACACTGTAAATTCGAAGGTGATACTTTTAGTACCTTTTACGGCGATACTGAGTATCGCCAATAAACGGCCTTACGGAAAAGTATTGCCTTCAAAACGGCGACACTTCTGTAGTACAGCCAAATTTAGGCGATTCTTCTGTGTAACGCCATTCTGAAGGCAAGATTTTCCGGTAAGGCCGTTCGCTGGCGACACTATATGCACACTAAATGTTTATGTAGAATTTTGTACGTGCCACTTGCACGATTTTGTGCATGCGGGGAATTTGCATAATATTGTACGTGAAAATGCATAAATTTGTGCAAATTCACGCACAATTTTACGCACGACGGCACACAAGTTTAAAATTATGCATCACCATGTACAAAATTGTACATAAACATTTAGTGTGTGGTATCGCAAAAAATGTACTTCAGTATCGCCTTCGCATTTGAACTGCAACCGGTGTGCGGCGTCTTCACTGGTAGTCAACGAATGTGACGTCATATTCGGTGACTACCAGTGTTTGGGTTGACGCCACACAAGGTGGATCCACGCACAACTTGGATTCATCTCCAGCTGTCCACCATGGAGATACGCACCTTCCGAGCACCGCGGTAACGAGGACTGCATCGCTAAGATTGATGCCTAAGTGCAGGTGGGATACCGCGCAGTTTGTCCACGGAAGAACGGCGCCGAGACTGTCCCAGCAGGTTGACCAAGGGCTCACCCACAACTTGTGCAGGCAGGGAACCAGCCGCATGGCGGCCGCGACCAGTTCGCTGTCTCTGAAACCCAGCGACACGCTCATGTCCCTCTGCTGACTCAAGTTACCCCAGTTTAAGGAAGGACACATTCGTTTTAACGTGGATAAACATTAAAAACAAACTGTAAAAAAATTTTACTTCGTAGATGGAGTATGATGTCGAATTTATAAAGGGGGCAAGACACTGAAAATGGCCGTAAACTGACTTGCGCGATTGCTTCCATACGCGTAGTTCTACGTTGTTAAAAACTTCTCACGTGTCAAGACCTTACGAGATGAAGCATTTTGAGCCCACAACAGCGTCGATCGGGCGTCAGGGAACGGAGCAGCTGCGAATCAAGTTACCGTAAAAAATCGAACTGGTGGAAGTTCCTCCCGCCCTCAGTCCGCAAAAATGAAGATATTGCAACCCCGTCTGCAACAAAATGTAGGTAGTTGTGGCTATCGACAGTGCAAAATTTCATACAAAAACAATTTTTGAGGATTTAGCAGAAACGAACAAAACAGATTTTTTCATAAGATTTTGTACTTTCCATAGCTTGATGTCCATGGTTGTAGTTCATGCGATAGCCACTTGAATGAACTTTATACTGGCGCAAACGGGGTTACGATATCTTAATTTTTGCGGACTAAGGGATTTCCACCAGTTCGATGTTTTACAAAAATTTGATTGGCAGCTGCTCGGCTTCCTGGCGTCCGATCGATGCCGTACTGGGCTTAAGGAGGGACCCTGGTGAAAAAATCGCCAAAATTCCAAAAAATAGTATTTTTAAAGTTCATAGATAAAAATGTGCATAGAAGGTTTCTGATTTAACAGGTTGAACACCTTTAAGCTAAGTGGGTAGTTTCTTTATCATTTGAAAGGAAATAACATTGAGATCAGTTGTCGTTGGCTTCTACGCTCAACTTCACAGCTTTGCTCAGTCGACAAAAAAATTTGTCGTAGAAAGACTTCCTGCGTTCCTGGTTGACACCTACATGAGCCGTCTTGCATGGACTCTATTCATTGATGACTTGTCAACAAATTTTAGTGACGGAATCTTGATATCAGCCCTACTTTTTTTTAACACACCTAATAGTTTGAAAAAAGGGGAAAAAATCACCTTTTTTGGCCCGCCCTTCTATTCAAAAAATAGGGGGAGGGCCTATGCATTTGCCTTTGTGTCTGTGTGTTGTTGTTGTTGACGTCTGTGTACAAGGAAGGAGTTGAGCTAGAGTAACCAGATTTGGAGGGTACTTCAGGAGTACCGTCCAAACAAATAATCCGATGGTGCAAATCCCGTCCGGGTCGCACAAGGGCTGCTGCAGGTGCATCATGGTTTACATGAGCGGGAGGGGGATTTCCGCCATTATTGGTGCTAGCAGGGCACATAGGGGTATTTTTGGAATCGGGGCGACGAGACAAGATGAATGGACCTGGTCCCGACCCCATCGGCCGCTTTTACAAGTTGGCCAGATCAGGATCTTCAAAAAAGGGGGTCGACCGACTAAAAAAATTTATTGCAGATTTCGATTGGTCTCAGCAAGACCTTTTCAACGAGGGGTCGGAAAGGGGGTCCAGGAGCCCGACTTCGTCTATTAGTCACATCAGGATCTTGAAAAACAGGGCTCGACCGACTGAAAATTTTTATTTAAGTTTTGGATAGGTCTTGGCAAGACCTCTTCAACGAGGGGTCGGAAGGGGGATCCAGGAGCCCGCCTTCATGAGTTATGGGAAAAAGTGCGACGGACTCGTTTTGCGCTCCTGCTGTGCCTCTATTGCAAGGAGTTGCAGTAGCATGGCAAATATGGGTATTTTCGGAATGAGGGCGAAAAGACAAATGAAATGGGCATATTCTAAGGACAGTTGGAGTAAAAAGTGTAAGGACTATTGCATATTGTGAATAGAAGGGCGGGCCTAAGTCACGATGGTACATCGATAACTTTGCTTTACCCGCTCACGGTGTGTGTGATGCGAGCGGGCCGAAGGCCCGGGCCCTCGTCTGGCCAAGTTGGGTCTGATGCGAGGGCCGAAGGCCCGAGAAAAGGCCGCCGGCAGGCCAAGCTGGGCCGGCCCCCTGTCGAACCGAGTTGCCGGCGCAGCGAAGCGGAGCTGGCAACTCGGTTCGACGGAAGGGCGGGCCCTAGCTTGTTGGCTGAGCGATAGCGAAGCCTGTTACTCCAGTGCGGTTGAAAAGTTTTGTCTGTCTGTGTGTGTGTGTGTGTGTGTACACTACTCCTCCTGAACGGCTCGGCCGATCTGGCTGAGATTTCGCAGGGTTATTAGGTATGTTCTTGGATCGGCACACGCGAAATTTCACCATCCTAGCTCAAGTGGTTCAGTTTTTATAGCCGAAAAACACCTAAAAAACGGCGAAAAATCGAGTTTTCTGTCGGTAGGGTAAACTATACAGTTATCGGCAGGGGTACAGTTATCGTCATCTCGGCGAATAATTGGGTCCTGCTCTGCAAGTACGCGTCCGTTAGTGATGCGGCCAATGCAGGTAGCTAGAGACACCTTTTGAGCATGCAGGACCGAGACAGCATCGCGTTTGACTGAGCATGTCCGCCAACATTCTTGTCAAGTGCAGAATGAAGCTGCTTCGGCCGCCCGTTCTTATCTTCCATGCTAGGAACAGGGGTTCAATCTTTCGTTAAATTCGTGAATGTGGGCCGGAAAAAACTATTCTCCTTGCCAGGTTCCTTCTCCCCATCTATTGAACAGAGCATTCTGTGCTCGGTGCACAGAAATTCCTCTTGCTTGCCCTCATTCGGGGGGTGCCGATAACTGCACCAGAGAAATCACCCCAAACACAGTTATCGTCAGGGTGGCCTCAAACTTCACTGGTGTTTCGGGCGTCGTCCGGGAGTTAATATTCTGATCCATTATGACCGTAGACCGAAGACCCCTGCCAAATTTGAATGAAATCGGACCACTATTTCCCAGTGATCTACGTGATTTACGAAATGTCCTCCTCGGCGCTTTGAGAGGTTGTTTTTTCGCAGCTCATGGTGCTAGTTGTCCGTGAGTCTAAAATGAAGGGCGCAAGAGGCATAACAGAAGAGAGAGGGGGTTCGTGACTTGTCAAGGGGTGATATAGAGTGTCTGTGACGACTGTTAGAAATTTTCGTCACTTTCGGTCATGTTTTGCCTTTTTAACAAGGGGTGCCGATAACTGTCATAAAGGGTGCCGATAACTGTATTTTAGCTGCCGATTACTGTGTTTTTGGTAACCATTTTCTCAGGTTAAATGATCCAGGAAGCGGAAGAAGGGGATAACTCAATTTTGGCCATTTTTCAGGAGAAACAAAAAACTGTTAGCAGGGAAAACTAAAACAAAACAAATGAATGTTGCACATGTTAATAATTTCAAAAAGCATTAGTAAAATTTTGGAAAAAAAATCAAAAGTGTAAGGTCACTCCGTAGAGGATTTCTGCGACTTATCACTTTCCGTTGAAATGGAAAACAGAGTCAGCTCACCTTATATTTCCTAAACAAAGAGGAATTTGGAGACAAGTCAAGTGGAACAATAGTCTGCATAAAGTGTATGTTACTCTGGTGTATTTTTTGGACTTAGCTCTTTTTTCCAAATTGAAATTTAAAATTTAAGGGGGTTAAGTTGAGTTGATTCTTTTTACACTAGATTCATAAAAACACAAGTTGAGTTATATCCTTTTGCCAATTTGTCAAACGGACTCACGTAGACTAAGGTTGAGTTATCTCCATTTTCCAATGAAATTTAGACTGTAAAAGGGGTTAAGTTGAGTTATACCCTTTTTCCAAGTGGATTTTCTCCTAAACTGCTTGGAATTCAGTCAAATAATTTGGTGTAATGATGTTAACCATTCTAAGGCACAATAATAAAATAAAAACTCAATTTGGGGATAAGTCAAGTTATTCTCTTCTTCCGCTTCCTGGATCAAATAAGAGCGTCACAAAAAGTTTTTAGTGAAATCTTTGTCAGCCACTTCGTTGTCTAGATCCTTCTGAAGTGTCTGGAACAAGTCGCACGGGTCTAAGTGTCATAACCTACCCTAGAAGCCCTTGAAAAGAACGCGATGCTCTTAAACTGACGGTAACTGTATAGTTTACCCTAGACCTCTCCTGTCTGGATGAAAGGGGGGTCTGGGGGGCGGAGCCCCCCAGCCACGACAAGTTGAAAAGTTACAAGGGTCAAGATCGTGTAATTTGTAGATGAAGCACCTCTATCTAGAATGAAGGGGGGTCTGGGGGCCCCCAGCATGCAACAGTTCTGAAGTAGGGTAAGGTTACCAAACATGGATCACTTTTTAAATAATCTTCTCTATATCGAAATTAAGTATGGGTTGACTACTATTTTTGAATCTTATGTTGATGTTTACCTCACTGGTCGTATGGCTACCAAAAATGGTACCTCTAGCTCGAATACTTTGGAAGTTGTGAGGACAAGAAAATATGGCTATTTTTGCTAAGGTTAGGTTAGGGTGGTCCAATCATGGATCACCCCACCAGCGTTTGGACACAAAGCAACGTATGCATTCAGTAGTCCCAAAATATCAAAGTGGTCCGTCTAAAGTGCACGATGAAAAATTTTGAAGTGACTGCGGTGATTGCTTGGCCAAGAATCAGGGGTGCAAAAATCACCTTTTTGAACGTCATTTTTCCATCGATTTTCGGGGGCCTGTTTTAGGTGTCTTTCTAAACGCAACCCTGCAGAGTAGAGAGACGCAGTTGCAAACTTGTCAGATTCACATCGAACAGTCAAAGGGTCAGTCTAAGCAAGGAAAGACAGAAATTTAGAACCTGGCCACCTGGTCTTTAGGTAAAGACCCCCAAAAAACAGAAATGATCCATGTTTGGTACCCCGATCCATGTTCGGCACTTTACCCTAACTGATGATGGACAAGCATTGTCTGCCGAAGGCAGCCTAGCGCCGCAGGCCAAGGTAGGTACGACAGGCGCGGATTGGAGAAACAGGCAGCGACACATCGCGAAGCCTGTTACGACAAGACGCGGTCTGGCGTAAACCTACCTTGTTTTAATGTTACAATTTGGAAACTCATATCTCAGGACAGAAGTTGAATTTGAAAATTCCGTCACTAAAATCTCTTCTATACATCTTTAGGATAACCCAAAAAAAATTTCAAGACTTTCCGTCCCAATGAAAGACGCAGGAAGATTTTTCCCCAACGCTCCAAAAAACACTAAAAAGCCACCAGAGACCGTTCAACATTTTGGATTGAATTTTGATTTGGGAACTCACCATAATGAACCTAATAATAAAGCAAAGTTTCAACTTCCTGGGATTATTTTGAAGCCTACTTGAAAGTTTCACCAGGGTCCCCCCTTAAAATGCTTCTTTTCCTGGTCAACACACGAAAAGTTTTAGCGACGTAGAACCACGCGTATGGAAGCGACGGCTCAAGTCAGTTATCGGCCGTTTTCAGTGTCTTGCCCCCATATATAACAGTGAGACAGGAAAATACCTCTTTGCATAAGCGTCAAGATTCTTGTGGCGCCAGAGGGCCGGAAGCACTGCCAGGTCCCTCCACCGACGGCACGTGGCCCTGCACCGCAGCAAGTCCCCGGGGGGCAGGAAGCTCAGCACGTGCAGCAGCAACTCCTGGGGCAGCGAGGCGATCTCCATCTGAGGAACAAGACACGGATTGGTCAAAAGTACCGGGTGGGTCACGAGGGAATCACACCCTAAAAACCTTACGAACTATTTTCAGCCTTAAAGAAAAGCAGCTTGTTTTAACAAAGTATTTTGAGCATACGTAAGCTCAAATACTTCGTAATTTACGGACTATTTCTTCGTATAACTGAGTAAAATAAGTTGTACTATGCATGCTCAAAATACTTAGTAAGGTTTGAAGCGAGAAATTGAAACGGAAGTGGCGGGTGGGACAAAAGGAACGGGTGATCTTTAGGTCGCAACAGATTGGGCGAAGCGGTGATCCAACAGCTATACTTGGTAAAACCCAATTCATCTAATATTTTAGAGCATCTTGTGAACGTAATTAAAATCTTTACGTCCAACATTTCAGTGATGCGTGCCACTCACTGTTAGCCGTCCTGAGTTGAATTGGACACTTCTAAAGCCTGCACATAATGAGGGACGCACAAGATATGGGAGCTAGGTCGAGCGCGAGCGTATTTAAGTTGCACCCTTTGATTTGACCACATTAAAGTCCGGTAGTCCGCCCGCCCAACAGACGTGTTTGGCGGGCCTGCCTAGTCGGGTGTGTGCAGGAGCTCTCCCGTGCCCATACTTTGAACCGCTATATCTCCTAAACGAATTGAGATAAAACTCTGTGCGTGGTCTCATTCGATTCAGCCCAGGGGTCGGCAACTTCCCTTGGCCGTGTACGAGGAAGTATACGTATATTACCAGTAATATAGGTAATATATGTGTAATATAAAGTAATACAAACTGATATATAGTAATATAGGGGTATTATAGAGGCGAAATTGTGGTAATATGCAAGTAATATATGGTAATATACAGGTAATATACGGGTAATATAGCCACCGCGTACGAAGTAATATATGAGTTGCCGACCCCTCGGATTCAGCGCGTTATTGTCTACAAGATAGGATCACCCACACACACCAAGAAGGCAGAGAACGTCAAACGATGCTCAAAACCTGCATTTTTAGAATAAAAAAGGGCAAATTTTGCATACTTTGAACCGCTATATCTCCTAAACGGTTTGACATAAAAATCTGCGCGTGATCTCATACGATTCAGCGTGTCATTTCCTACAAGATAAGGCCATCAGAAATTTTTCTCCATATAATTTTCCCAGAAACCCCAAGAAAAAACTGTTTTCTAGGTGTTTTTAGGGTATTTGGGGGTTTACTTTATAGGCATTCGTCAGAGGTCAAATCTGAGGTCATATACTTGTTCCTTAGCCAATTTCACGTAAAGTGACCAAATTTTGGCCCTCTACTATGAAAAGTGTAAAGTAAGTCGGAAATACCCAAATTCGTGTTTTTTTTTTACCAAAAGTTAAATAGAGTACTTCAAAGAAGCTCTGGCCCGGAAGAAGAAGAACAGAAACGGAAGTAAGAAATTGCAGTTTCTATGAAAAATATAAGCTGCGGACTCTCACGCGCAGCGTATATTTCTTATAGATACTGCAATTTCTTACTTCCGTTATTGTTCTTCTTCTTCCGGGCCAGGGCTTCTTGGGAGTACTCTATTAAAGTTGGCCATATCTCGGGCAATAAATTCTTGCCAGACCTAATATTTTGGCTTCAGACTCTCCTTTAGTTAGTTATTAAGCCTACAAAAAAATCAGGCAAATCGGATAGGGTCGCTGGAAGAAGTGGTCTGTCTTAGTTGATTTTGCTGTCACCCAACCTTAGCCCCCACCACCCACGGCCCTTCTGTTTCTCCCGTTCTGTCGCCCACTTCCGGTCTGGATTTCCTCCGAAGTACCCTATTAATTTCAGTGTTGTTGGTTCATACTAGAGTTAACATAGAGTTCAATCCCATTTCACTTCTAATGGGGAAGATCCGAAAGTGTGGCGGCGCTAATAATAGCCTATTCCAGTCGTCGTCAACTGAAGAACAAGAAGGATCACAAAACCGGAAATAGACTGGATCGGGAGTAGGTAGTGAGCCTGTTTTAAGGGAGTAATGCTCCCAAATATATTTCTTTCATTTGCCAAAAGTATTTGACACAAGCTGAATTGATTTTGAAAGAGTGTCGAATCGAAAAACTTTTTAATGATGCATTCGGACGGGTGAGTGAGGTTAAGTTGCTGGCACCATTTCCGGTTTTGTGATTTTTCTTGGTCCTCAGTCGACGACGACTGGAATAGTCCTATTCGGTTATCTCAAAAGAAGCTTAGTCTGGATAGGTCTATTCTTCAGTCATCGACCCCTAGAGAAGTATTTTCTCCTTGTACGTGCTTAGCGAAGCCACTGCGCATTTCGCAGGGTGTAGCATCAGAGGAGATCAGCGGGGTAAATCGTACAAGGTAAGACCGGAAGCTGCCACCTTGGCCGACACCACTACTCAGTGAACGCGTAGCGGCGTGCTCATCAAGCCAAGCCCCAAGCTGAGTGCCAAGTGAAAAAGAATAGCAAGAACCGGAGCTCCACAAGCAGCACCATTCAATGTATGTTCACAAGGATTCTAAGACAGCTGTTCGCGGCTTTAGTGGTTATATACAAGGTAGGTTTACGCCAGACCGCGTCTTGTCGTAACAGGCTTCGCGATGTCTCGCTGCCTGTTCCTCCAATCCACGCCTGGCGTACCTACCTTGGCCTGCGGCGCTAGCCTGCCTGCGGCAGGCAATGGCTTGTCCGTTGTCGGTTATTTTTTAACTTGTTGAATGCTGGGGCGCTCCGCCCCCCAGACCCCCCTACATTCTAAATAGAGTTGTTTTATCTACAGATAACACGATCTTGACCCTTGTCACTTTTTAACTCGTCGAGGCTGGGGGGCTCCGCCCCCCAGACCCCCCTTTCTCCAAGACAGAAGTGGTCTATCTGCAGAAAACTCTATTTTTCGCCGTTTTTTAGGTGTTTTTCGCCTATAAAAACTGAACCAGTTGAGCTAGGATGGTGAAATTTCGCGTGTGCCGAGCCAAGGACATACCCAAGAAGTGTGCAAAATCTCACCGAGATCGGCCGAGCCGTTCAGGAGGAGTAGTGCGGACAGACAGACCGACAGACAGACAGACAAAACTTTTCAACCCCACTGGAGTAACAGGCTTCGCTATCGCTCAGCCAATAATGGACACTCCTAGCAGGGCTTGAAGTGGAGAACAAGAAAATACGAGAACATACACCGGAAACAGTACCAGAAATCGGTCTTGCCACGACCTTTTCAGCGAAGCCTTAGGTGGTACTCTAATCAATCTTGAAACGGATGAATCAACAAAAGTGAGCCCTAAAATCAGCTTCTGCCCATGCGCATTGGGTGGTGAGGGAACGTCTGCGTATGCGCAAATGCTGTTTTTAGAGCTTAATTTTGTTCTTTTCATCCTTTTCAAGATTCATTGGAATACCCTATTGTTAGCAAGCGTAGCTCTGGACGAAGTTCATGGCAGTGGCCGCTAGGTGGCATGCATCTGGTTCCCAATATTTGATTGCCTATGTTCTTCACCTGGCTACGACTGAAAGGGCACTGTATTGGCGTAGCATTGCGTAGCTTAACGACATGACACGGTCTGGCGTACACCTACCATGTTTCACGAAGAGAGAGAGTTCGTGAACTACGAAGTAGTTTCTTCGCAAGCTTATGTTTGCTCTGAATGCTTTTTCATGACAAGCTGCTTTTCATTGCAGGGCCTAAAAGAGTTCGTAAGGTATTTGAGAGCGTTGACTGGTGCCGTGAGGTGGGGCGCGCTAACGTCACACTTTTATAACCAAGGACAACCCCAATTCAATCCAAGGTGGGCCATCCTTACGCCTAAAATCCTATGCGTTAACGATGTGTTAGAATAACGGTATTTCTCGCAGTGTCGTTTTCGCACACTGCACAGCCGAGCCTATCTCGTCTCTGGAAAAACCAACTATGAAGAAGGTATCGAAAGGTTTCTACATCGCGTTCGGGTTTCTGGCCGGCGTACTCTACTAATCCAAAAGCGCACACTGCAAGGCCAGTGGTAAGTTTGCATGCCACAAATTTGACAAGCCGTTTTGAATTTCAAAATTTGGCAAGCTTTGGTCGGAAATCTTAAAAATCTTGCCAAATTTTGGCAAGCGGGGGGCTACTTCCGGGCCAAGCTTGCCAATTTTTGGCCTTCAAAACAGCTTGCCAGTTTTGTGGCAAGCAAACTTACCACCGGCTTTGCAGTGCACATGGTGTGCTGTACCTCGACGATGCCTGCAAGCACGCTCCAGCTAGCGCATGCCTGCCAAGCATGCAGTTCATAGTTTATACATGCCATACACGTCAACTGAAGTATACATCTTCAGCACAAGGCATAGGGAGCTGTTTGCATCAGTAAGCATATGTAAATGGCATCAGGCATGCGCTAGCTACAGCGTGCTTGTAGGCATGTTCCAGGTAGAGCGTACAATGTACGCTTTCCGATTTTAGTGTAGCCTTGCAGTCGCTTTAATATTGTCAAACTAAGGGTCGAACCTTACTTCGCTCACGCTGGACCTTGCGTCCTTATCTCGTCTTTCTGAGCAAGCATTAGAAATGCCCTGTTCAACTTAACACGGCTAACAATGGCATGATCATTGAAATTTTAGACAAAGTGATTTTAATTACGTTGACCAGCTGCTCTGAAACATCAGAAGAACTTACTTAGGTTTTCAAAGTATAGCCTTCAGGTCACCGCTTGGCCCAATCTGTCGCGACCTAAAGACCACGTTCACGGTAAAAATGTCCGCTTGGAACTCAAGGGAATTTTCTCAATTCCAAGGGAGTTGGTACGAAACCAAGACTCTTCCTTGTAAATTGACAAAACCAAGGGACTCCCTTGGAATATTAAACAGAATCCAAGGGACTACCTTGGAATTTCGGGCTGGGGACGCACACATGAAAGTGAGGTTAATAGTTTTGGCACTGCTTGTTTTCACGATTCGTTTGCACGGTACTGCTCCTACTGTTTTTCTTGCTTTGACAACTGAACGAAATCAAGTTTTTATCACGCAAACAGTCATAATCTCCCATTTCACATGATATGAAAGAGGCCAAAGTCGCTAGGTGCAGCGGCCACATTTCAAGAGACTTCCTTTGCAAATCACGGAATTTCCATGGAGTCCCTTGGATTCGAATTAAGTAGCTTCCAAGGCTATAGGACTTACGAGGGACTTTTTTTGCGGGTTTTATGCTTCCTCCTAAAACATCGACATTCCGATTTTTTTCTGTTCATCTTTCAAATATAATGTTGAGTCTCCTGTTTCCCGGAATGAACCGCTGATGGCTCTGAACTGCTTTTGATTGTTGTGATGCCTGTGTGTACGGTGATTTACGTAAAATACGGGGGAATCAGTTTTTCTGTCCAGTTCTTCCCCGCCCTGCCCTGACCCTACCCATTTCAATTGCACGCTCAAAACGTTAGGGTCAGGGAGGGGAAGAACTGGACACGGAAGAACCGAACACCCCATATTTTATTTCAAATACCGTATGCACAGGCATAACCGTGGTATCAGCGGTGCATAACATTATAGTTGTTACGCCGGTGCCAACGGCATTTGAAGTTAAATGGGGTGCTCCGTTGATTCCCCGTCTAGTTTTTTTCCCGCGCCGACCCTTCCAAGAATTTTGAGCATTCGTAGTACAAACTAATTTACTATGACATACGAAGAAATGGTCCGTATATTACGAAGTATTTTCTTTGTAAACTTACGCGTGCAAATACTATGTTAAAACAAACAAGCTCTTTTCTTTGTAAGGCTGAAAATAGTTCGTAAGGTTTTTAGGGTGTGATTCCCTCGTGACCCACCCGGTATTTTTGACCAATCCGTGTCTTGTTCCTCAGATGGAGATCGCCTCGCTGCCCCAGGAGTTGCTGCTGCACGTGCTGAGCTTCCTGCCCGCCAGGGACTTGCTGCGGTGCAGGGCCACGTGCCGTCGGTGGAGGGACCTGGCGGTGCATCCGGCCCTCTGGCGCCACAAGAATCTTGACGCTGATTCAGAGAGGTATTTTGCCCTATCTCACTGAGATTGCCCTGTCTCAATGAATAAGACATCACATTTTTTTATGGTTTGTTTTCAATGTTTTCCTCTTTAACTTGAGTCAGCAGAGGGACATGAGTGAGTGTGTCGCTGGGTTTCAGGGACTGCGAACTGGTCGCGGCTGCCATGCGGCTGGTTCCCTGCCTGCACAAGTTGTGGGTGGGCTTTCATCCAACCTGCTGGGAGAGTCTCGGCGCCGTTCTTCCGTGGACAAACTGCGCGGTATCCCACCTGCACTTAGGCATCAATCTTCGCGATGCAGTGCTCGTTACCGCGGTGCTCGGAAGGTGCGTATCTCCATGGACAGCTGGAGATGAATCCAAGTTGTGCGTGGATCCACCTTGTGTGCACGCTAAATGTCTTGTACTTTATTGTCCATAGCTATGGCCGTTTTTGTACATACAGAACTTATGTACAAATTTGTGCATAAATTAGGAACAATATTTCCATATTGTGCTTAAGTATGTAAAAAATTGTACCTAATTTATGTACAAATTTGTACATAAGTTCTGTATGTACAAAAACGGCCATAGTTATGGACATAAAGTCCGATAAAGTCCATAAGCATTTAGTGTGTGGCGTCAACCCAAACACTGGTAGTCAACGAATATGACGTCACATTCGTTGACTGCCAGTGAAGACGCACACCGGTTGCAGTTCAAATGTGAAGGCGATACTGAAGTACATTTTTTTGGCGATACCATATACACTGAGAATGAAAAGTCATGATCATGACTAAAATTTTGGGCGAGGTCCCTATTACCCAAATTTAGGTGAGGAAGGTTTCCACCCAAATTTGGGTCATAATACTTTGGAGCCATATAGGCAGAGGCAGCTGATACACCCTTCCCCACCCAATTTTGGGCGAGGAAGCCTTCCTCATCCAAATTTGAGTGATAGAGCATACCTCGCCCAGAATTGGGTGTTGATCATGACTTTTTCATTCTCAGTGTAGTGTCGCCAACGAACGGCCTTACCGGAAAATCTTGCCTTCAGAACGGTGATACACAGAAGTACCGCCAAAGTTTGGCTATACTTTTGGGTATCGCCAAAATCGCGGCAACAAACTAAAAACTTGTCCCCTTGATTTGTTCAAAGTTTATTGTCAAATCGTAGCAACACTGCAAATTATCGTCAAATTTGGTGATGCTTTTTTGTATCGCCGTTTTGAAGGCAATACTTTTCCGTAAGGCCGTTTATTGGCGATACTCAGTTGTATCACCTTAAAAGGTACTAAAATAGTCACCTTTGAATTTACAGTGTAAAGTTCTCCTGCCACACCCTAAATGTTTTTGTTGCGTTGGCACATTGCTTGCAGGACCATGCACATGTGTTCTCTGTAGTTTGAAGGACAAGTATGCAATGGCCAGCCCCTTTTTCTGAAATACATTAACAGTCTTTGATTAAAAGTCTTGTGATAGGAAAGGCTCCATCAGACCATTACTGACTGTCCCTCTCCGAATTACCTCAAGTAGTTTCCTGAGCGATTCTCACGTTTCGGGGTAGTTTCGTTTCTTCTGACTCCTGTGCCCAAACGAGCGCAGATATCGACATGGGGTTTGTTTCTGATGTTAGGGAGGGCCATTGCCCACTAAACGCACACATTTCGAAAAGTTCTTGTTCGTTGGATTGGTCTACGTAGCGTTTGGAATACCCTAAATGTAACTTCCGTGATTGTCCAAAGAGAACATACTCGAACTTTCCGCCCCCAGTGTGGCGGTGTGGTTCGAAAATGCTGCCAACTGTCGATGGGGACTCGAAGCTTGGCATGTCTCGAGCTAATTTCAACCGAAGACCAATACGCCAGACTTCTTTCAAAGGTACTTATGCTGCAACGAAAAATGTCCTCCGTATATTCAATTTCACTACACAAATTTCGAAAAGGCAGCTCTGGACTTCTCCCCAAGCCAAACTTTTAACTTTCCATGACACAAGCCATCAAAGTGAAGTCCCTGGGATATAATTGCATGGGTCGCGGAAATCTAAGATGCTGTACACGGTCTCAAAGCGGGCTGGAGCATTATAAAATGGCGTGTATCAACAATTACCTGTAACTTCCGTGGCACCCTTTACCCAATGTTGCAGCAGCAGTAGGTGAAAAAAAATTCCGCTTAAATGTCGGCCTTAGAGTATCATTTGACCCTGGAACGACTTTTAAGCCACAGCAAGCCCGAGTCAGCCGTTAAAGCCAATTTTCACACTTTGTAACTTCCGTGATAACGTAATTTCCGTGATCAAAACACCCACTAAAACGTATGGGAATACCTTATGGCTCATGTTTTTAGGAAGATAGTACAAGGTCTTTACTATAAATACCATTTACATAACTCTAGTATCATCCAGGACCCCAATAATCAGAAAAACTTAATTGGATATTTCTCACTTTCGGCAAATCAGAGACGCCAAAACTACCCCGAAACGTGAGAATCGCTCTCCTAGGCTATGGAAATTGAAAGAGAGAGATTTTTTGCGGGTTTTATGCTTCTTTCTGAAACATTGACTTTTTGAATCACTTTCTGTTCGTCTCTTAAGTTCATCGTTCGGTTTCCTGTTTTCTGGAATGCGTAAAAATAATTGTGTGCTCTTAGTTTCACTGAGAATGAAAGAGTCACCACCATCGCCCTTTCATTGGGTAACGCACGCACCGTTGCCCAAATTTGGGTGACGAGTCCGCGGTGACCAAATTTTGGGCAGTCATAAAATCGTCGCCTAAATTTGGGTAACGCCGTCGGCGACGCCGTAAGGTCACCGATGACTTACTTCCGGGGCCACCACGATGACCTAATGTGGCGTTGAGGCCTCCGGTCATCGTGGCGTCGCCGACGGCGTTACCCAAATTTGGGCGACCAAACGCCTGTCACCCAATTTCGGGTGATGAATTTTTCGTCACCAAAATTTGGGCAACGAAGTTGCGTCACCCATTTAAAGGGTGATGGTGGTGACCAATTCATTCTCAGTGTTCGGTACGGCTGAACCGCATTACTTGTTGAAGTAACGCTTATTACTTGTTATCAAAGTTCCAATTAGGTTATAGACTGAATTTTAAAAATTTCTGAATTTATTCTCCTTTGTGGAGATGGGTTTGGCTCAACGAGTCAAACAAATAATAAGCAGAACATAAATAAATGCAGAACACTGTTTTCTTAAACAGATTCAAGATGTCTAAAACGTACCTATTCAATAGTTTTCCGAGTGTCTTTCGTTTCAGGCAGGCTGCCCTGGGGAAACTAAAACATTTTTCTGTATGTTCCTCTCAAGTCGTGAACAAAAAGTCTCTGAGCAAAGTTCATCAGCTCCTGGAATTTCTGCTTCACACTCAAGGTGAGTTAATGTTCAGTGCTTTAAACATATGCTATTCCCTCCTGTGACATTAGATTTTATTTTTGCTGCAAGTTGCCTTGTAGATGTGTTGGAATCAAGAAGCAACCTTTAACATTCAAATCAAGAACTTTGTCAAATTAGAACTTTCATCCTTTTAGGTATTTTCATTTTAAAATGTGTATGAGTTGATATCCTTTTGGTTGTGGAAAGGAGAATATAATAGTGTTCTTTTCAGTTAAGGTGGCATATTTGGTTGTAAGGTTAACAAGAAGCAAAGAACAACAATATATATCTATTGAAATTTATATTAAGGCCTTACATCTATGTTGGGTCAGGTCAGGTTAAACATTTTTTACAATACCCATTTAAAATAATTTTTTTTTTGTTGAAGATTTGATGTTTTGAGTCTGCACATTCATGTTTTGTTACTTAACATACTTCTTTGTGCTGGTGACATGATCGGGATGGCATGGAACAGTCATTTTTCCATTTTATTGAGAGAAGCTGAAATTTCATCTTGCGCGCAAAGTTTCTTCAACAAGAATTGAGACCAGACCTCAAAAAATATTAAAATGGAACGCTTCACTTCAACCACCTCTATGGTCCAAAGCTAAAATATGGACCAGAAACTTGAAGTAGCCTAAAAGAAGAAAATCAGAACCAAGTTTTTATTGTTTATACTAAAGTTAAACATTTCACTTTGGTCCAGAGAATACAGTTGAAAAGCCTTCAAAATTATAATGTTTCAAAAAAATGGCAATATTGTTGGGGAAATACCCCAAGCCCCACTCTACCGGCGGCGCTACCCCACGCTCTGTCCTTCTGAGCATGCGCTCCGTTCGAACCTCTGTCGCGTAGCAACGGCGCAAGCCGACCTTGTGCACTGCTGGCCTAACCCTCGGATTAGACGGACGTACTTCTTTACCTGCCTTCCTGCCTTCCTGATTCCCTTCCCCCCGACGTCGTCACTTTCATTGGTGTCAGAAGTGGGATTCGTGCCTACGTGCCCTGCATTCCCTGCGCTTCCCTGCTCCTTCGTCTGTGCCCCTGCCCAAGATGAGCCGTCGAGAAGACCGCCACCGCGGGGAAGACCGCCACCATCGAGACGACACCGCCGGCCTCCGGGAGATCATCGGGGAGTGGGCCGCCGCGTCCACCGCCCTCAACGCCCAGAATGCCGCAGTCATCCGGAGCATGTCGGAGAGAGACATGCTGCGCAGTCAAAGGTCAGGCCCTAGTTATGCTCCCTTGACTTATGACGGCACGCGTGCGTGGCCGATCTTCGCCGCTCAGTTCGAGGACGCCGCGTCCGTCCACCGCTGGGACGACGCCGAGAAGGGACGGCGCCTGCTCCGCGCCCTGTCCGGCCCCGCCGCGGACCTCGTCCAGACGCTGCCGCCCGGCGCCTACAATGACTACGCCGCCCTGCGCTCCCGCCTCGAGCAACACTACAACCCGGCGCAGCGCCAGGCCCTGGCTGAGGTTGGTCTGGATCAGCGCACGCAGCGTGCAGGTGAGACGCTCACTGACTTTGGTGCCGAAGTGCTCCGTCTGGCCCGATTGGCGTACCCCACATGGCAGGAAGACGCCCTTCAGACGATCGCCAAAAAGGCCTTCCTGAACGGGATCCAAGATAAGGAAGTGCGGCATAACGCCCGCCTGCGCCAGCCTGCCTCTTTCAACGACGCCCTCACCGCGGCCATCCAGGTGGAGGCTATCGAGCAAATGGAGCCGGCCCTACAAGCGCCCGCGGATCTGCGCCGCTTCGTCCGACCCGCAGCCCTCTACCAGCCGCCGGTCCTCTGCGTCGGCCTCCTCGGACGGCGCGGAGCCCCACGACGCCGACAATGACTCCACGCCGCGCGTGGCCGTCGCCCGTCCTGCTCTTTCCGCCGCTGCCGGCGGCAACGACGCTCTGTTGCAGGAACTTGTGTCGCAGCTGCGGCGCTTGACCGCGGCGTTGGTCGCGCCCTGCCCCGACCAGGGCACCCAGCGGTGCTACACGTGTGACGAGCCCGGTCACTACGCGCGGGAGTGCCCTGACGCCGGTGGCCGCCGTCGCCACGGTGGCGGCCGTCGTCACGACCGTGGTTCGGGGAGTGCTCAGTAACCACGTCGGCGGGCGCTGTGCGCGTGAGTAACGGTGATGCGACATGGACTCCTCGAAGCATTGGTGCACAGCTTCCTCCGGCCACCTCGCCTTCCCCTTGCCACCTGGCCAGTCGCTCGGGGTTGGCCGGCGGTGCGGTTGACGCTACGGTGCGTGCCTCGAAAGCTGACTTTGACTGGGCTGGACTGTGTGTCCCTGGACTGTGTGTCCGCACCGTGGGATCACGCGCCGCGGGACCTCGAGAGGCTGTGTGCCCGGCTGTGTGCCCCCTTCGGCTGTGTGCCATGAGGGACTGTGTGTCCGCACCGAGGGATGCTCCGCGGGCCGTTCTGAAGACCAGCTCTTGAAGACATCTTTCGCGCGCGCTTCGCCTGTTGTGCCCTGTCCCTGTCGTGTTCCCCAAGGCCCTCCGTGCCGTCCAACCGTACGGCCGCCTCCGCGGCTACTCTTCCGGTCTGGCCGTTCTCCGCGAGGGGGGGAAAAGCTGCCGATCGCTGCAGTCCCATGGCGCCGCAGGAAGACTTCTTTGGACGGTAACAACGCACCTGTCCATGGTTGTGCAAGCGTCTCAGACCATTTGGGACTTGCAGGTGCCACTTGTGATGCTGAGTCTCCGAGTCGCCCCGCACAGTACCACGGGCGTCTCTCGCGCCCAGATGCTCTTCGGGCGCCAGTTGGGACTTCCCCCGGGCCTCGCGCGAGGCTATCCTCCCGGCACCGAGTGCGTTCCTGACCGGCTGCTGTCCCAAGCCTGACTTCGGGCCGAGCTGTTCCGCCTTCACCACGCAACCCGAGACTACGCCGCCGCAGTCACCCTGCGCCAGAAGCTGCGCTACGACCTGTGCCCCTTACTTGCGTTGAACACTTTGTTGGAGGGGGGATAGTGTTGGGGAAATACCCCAAGCCCCACTCTACCGGCGGCGCTACCCCACGCTCTGTCCTTCTGAGCATGCGCTCCGTTCGAACCTCTGTCGCGTAGCAACGGCGCAAGCCGACCTTGTGCACTGCTGGCCTAACCCTCGGATTAGACGGACGTACTTCTTTACCTGCCTTCCTGCCTTCCTGATTCCCTTCCCCCCGACGTCGTCACTTTCAATATTTGTAAGAAAAGAAATTAACGGTAAGTTATATTTAAAATCATCAGTAAAGAGCATCACCTAAAGAGTCAGTTACCACCACAGTAAAACTTGTTATCAACCCAGCGAGTGGCCCACTCTAAAAGCTACCCAGTCAACAAAACATAGTCCCGTGGACGTCCGACAGACGTCCGGCAGGGACCACCGGGACGTCCCGGCTGGACGTCCGTGGGCTAGTCCGGATGGCAAAGAATACCAGTCCCTGGGTAGTCCGTGGGACGTCCGCACCGGGTCCCGGGTGAAAGTTCCGCGGACGTCCGCCGCATACGTCCGTAGGGACTATCCCGGCGGACGTCCCTCGGACCACCGAGGGACGTCCCATGTTCAGCGTTAAAATTTTTGGTTAAAAATTTGAACGCAAGTGTGTTAGCTTGGTCTCGTTTCACCCAGTGAGACATGACTTTGGACTTTTCCTTCAAAGTATTGTCATCTCATCGAAGGGCAATGTCCGAACAGTATGTATTACCTGGGACGTCCTCAAGGGACCTCCCCCGGGACTACCCCCGCTAGGGCCAGCTAGGGACCACTGGCGGTCGGGCGTGTTGCCTATGCGACAGGGGCCATGTCCCAATGGGACGTCCTTGGGACGCCCGCAAAGGATATCCGCCGGGATCAGCCCGGCGGGACAGGGGGGCCACTGCGGTACATCGGCGGTTTGCCCAAGCACCGCGGGGCCATGTCCCGAAAGGGGGTCCTTGGGACGACCCAGGGACGTCAGCCGGAACTAGCCCTTCGCGACCCTTGACGGGTCCCGCTGGGACGTCCGCCGCCGGACCTCTGGCGGACGTCTGCTGTCGGCTGGACCCGCCGATTGCACCGGCCGGGTGGTCCGAGCGGCCGTCCCTGGGACATCCCCAGGGGACCATGCAGGGACCACTATAGGGATAGTGACTGGATAGTGACCGGGACTATGTTTTGTTGACTGGGTACGCACCAGTTTGGAAATGGGAGTTCATGCAGACCAAAATGGAATGCTTGCCGCCATCTAGACTCAGAATACATCGAAAAAATGTGGTCCCCTGGTTGAAAAGTACACCGATTCTAACCTACTTTTTTATAACTGAAAGGTCATCAACTCAAACACAGAATGAAAAGAACATTCCATAAATAAGCAGTCCACAAAAGTTTTTTTTTTCCTTTTTAAACGTTTAGGGTTATTACCCCTTTTAATTGATTTGCCTCGTCTAGGATTGGAATCGATTGATATAAGCATTGGTGCTGACCCTGCTGACATCATGAAAGGGAAATCCCCTCTTCTCAACGCAGCAAAAAGTGCCGCACCAGTACCAGCGTCCCTGCGGAAGCTGGTCTACTCTTCCATGTTGAGGGACCCCTGTCTGCCCCGCTACCTCGAGTGGCATGCAGCCACTTTGGAGGTTAGTTCAAAATACACTGCTAGGACAACTCCCTGAAATTTATGACAACAGATTGGGAGGGTACATTTTTAACTGCCCAAGACAGGTATAACCAATTATTTTCTTTCAAGCATTCAATAGGCACCCTCTCAAATTATTTTTGAGGACTTAATTGAACCTGTTGCAACATTTTGATGGGAAAACTTGAAATATGTTTTCTTTTTGGTGAATAAATTTTTGTTGTGGGATGCGTTTCGGTCCAATTTGGGCACACTGAGATAATCTTAAGGGAAGGTGGGGTACCATGTGACACGGCCACCATGTGACTTTGGCTTTTTCTCCCAAACGGCTTGCTATCCAACAGCGGTAAGAAGACTCAAATGAAGGTATCATGAAGGAGAATCGACGTGCAATAGGTCATGACTCTCCTTCGAAAAGGACGGGAATGGTAGCGATCAGAATTGGAAACCGTCTTAAAATAGCTCATTGGAAACTTTTTCTATTTCCCGCCGCGTCCGCTTTTTACCTTTAAAATACATTTTAAGGACATATGCTCTGCAAGATGTTCTTCTTTGCTATTTTAAGCGCAAAATAAGCTTTGGCTCGATTCTCTACGACATAAACTTTGAGCGTTATTGCTATTTCCCCTAAAACTGTTAATCTGGGCACCATGTACAGAAACTACTGTTCGCTTTTAGTTCGTTTCAGTCGTTTAGTTCGCTACCCTATGGATTGGTTCGCTTTTAGTTCGGAAGGGGGGAACTGGTTCGCTTTCAGTGAGCGAACTCAATTTGAGTCCAATCCCTCAAAGGAGGGATTGGTTCGCTAATAGTTCGCTTCGGTGGGACTAGTGCGCTAAAGTTCGTCCGGAGGACTGTAGCATCCGGTGCGCGGCAGTGCGAACTAGATTTAAGTTCGCTAAGGAGACCCGACGCAACTCCTTACGAACCAATCCGCCTCCTGTACGAACCCTTGCGCACTCGTTCGCTCTGCAGCGAACCACCGCGTACTAGTTCGCTCTGCAGCGAACAACAGCGTACTAGTTCACTCAGCGAACCGAAAACGTACTAGTCTCTGACACAAGGTGGGGGACCCTCCGCCGTTTGTGTTAGCTCCTAAAAGTCGGCACTTTGACTTCGTGTTCATTTATACGTCAAGGGGATTGCAAGTAGTACAAGGCAAAGATCTCAATTCAAGTCTCCACAGGAACAAATCTGAAAATTACAATTATTTTGCTTAAAGTTTGCGCGAAGCTTTATACTGGTAGTATAATGTTTCAATAATTTAATTTCTGTCGAAATAACAAAGAAATGCGATGTAACAGTTTATGTACGTTCGTGCCAATGATAAAGCTCAATGTGAGAATAATCCTCTACACATCGCTCTCATGACGCGCACTTTTAATTCCAATCTTCTGCAGTTTTATTAACGTTAAACGCGCTTCAGACATCGATTTCTGGTGTTTTGTGCAGTGCTCAAACGCCTCGCAGATTTTACGAAATTCCAATAGAGACATCGAAACCGCATCTTTCTATCTGATAAATGCGCCTCCAGAAGCACAACAAGATGGCCGGAGTGCGCGCGCGAGCTAGCGGAGCCAGTTGAGAGGCTCGGCCGCGGCCCTGCCTCATTTAGGTTGCGCAGTGGTTTAGCGCGTCGACTACGAGGAGCCAAGGTCCACATCACAGAAACTAGGGATCGACTCACCGGCAGCCAGCATCGAGCACGCAAAAGCATACATTACACGGGGGTCGGCCCTTCTATTGGCTCGCCGTGGAAGCGAACTGTCGCTTACCAGTTCACAGCGACCGAAAGCGAACCGATGCCCTCGCGAACTAATTCGCTTCCGGTTCGGTTTTTGGTCGTTTTTAAACTCTGAGCGAACCAATCCCCTGCTGAGCGACTCAAGCGAACTAATCCACTGGTAATTTAAGCAACTAAAAGCGATGATACGAACTTAAAGCGAACTGCATTTTTCCTGTACGGATGTGACACTACTGTCATCGCTAGGGATTCCACAATTCACTCAGTCTGAATTCGTCCATGATTTGTACACTATAACTAAAACTTCATTGCTCGGGAACCAAAGATGATAAAATTGATAGACTCAACGAAAAATACAAAAGCTGGAAGACGTTTCATTCATTCTTTGCGTATTGTACGCCGAATAGGATTTAACCATGACAAAAGTGCCATGTCAAATGGTCAACTAAGCTGTCAATAGTTACTACTTGGGGTACAAGTCACACTTTGACTTGGCCATACTTGGATAATCGTACCAAATTTTATAATTTAGAAATCTCAACAGAAATTAAAGGTGAAGAATCATTTGTCACATGACTACTTATATTAATTTTGTATTATTGGGTTGACGGGCACTTAACAAAAACCGTCACATGGTACCCCACCTTCCCTTACTATTTTAGGCCTTTCAAAGAAAAGTAGCTTCTTATGGCAAATTATTTTGAGTAGGCCTGGGCGATTAATCGATTAATCGAAAATAATCGCAATTATTTTGTTAATCGTCCGATTATTTCAAACCCCCGATTAGTGGTTCGGTAATCGAAGTTTGACTGATTCCTTGTCGATGATCGATTATCGATTAATCGTTTCTTTATCGGATATTCTATACATCACCTGTTCAAATTCTGAGCAGAAACGTCTTGAAAAGTTTTCAGTTACGACACAAAAGCTGTCACAGACACTCCTCTTGATACATGCTTTTTTTACAATAGTACGAGTATCAACCTTTGTTTTTCAATTTCCAAATAATCGGTTTCTCCCGATTAATCGTTGATTTTCGATTAATCGAGAACGTTTTCGATTACCGATTACCGAACTGCTAATCGACACCAATCGCGAATATTTTATTCATCGGCCGGTTACGATTACAACCAATAATCGCCCAGGCCTAATTTTGAGCATTCACGGAAAATTAAATACCGTGAAACGGGGTAATTTCGGACACTCGGTGTAATTTCGGACAACTCTGCCCGAAAGCATGGCAATGATGCTCCCATCTAACGGCCAACTTGGAGGCTTGTCCCGTTGCGCGCATCGCATCGGCCGCACTTTAAACCATCTGATCAATCACCCGGAGGCCAAATCTGGGGCAAACTTCAGGAGAAAGAGTGGTTTTTGTATTTAACCATTTTTACCTAAATTCACTTTATGCGTAAAAACTTTGACTGGTAAGCCGAAACTGTTCATGGCCGGTTCATGAAGTGATTGTATGTCGATTCGATCATGGTAAGAGCATACTGTGTCAAATTTTCAATCACCTGGGTCAAATAGTATGGTTTATATGGGCTCAAAACTAAAAAAAATGTTACTTTACGGGGTAATTTCGGACATACAAACGTCCCGCCAGGGAGAGTGGGTATGCCCTGAACACTTCCAATTTCGCAGGGTTTGAGTGGTGGAAGCTCAAGAGCTCTTCTGAAAGTTGAAGATAATCCAATAACAACGATATTCCCCAATTGTTACAACGGTTGCTTTGTAAACTTCGAATGTCATAAAAATGGGGCAAAGCTTCATCTTTAATACTCAGTTTTATGTGCATATCCTACGTTAGTGTCAACGACTGTTTTGTGATTAATTTTCTTTCATGTGACATGAGAGTTGGACTTGGCGAATGGCTGCATAGCTCGCCGGTTTACTGCAATTGAAATGCAAAGCTTTCCACTGAGCCCCTGTACCTTCCTAACCGTACGTACGACACGACTACTTGCCTTTCATATGCATGTATGTGATCGTATGTAATCTTGTAGAGGAAGATTAAAGATTCACTTTCGCGTAATTAAGTATGGCCCGAGTTACCTGAGAAAGCTAATCGGTCGAAGATTAAAAAATAGAAGCGTTCTAAATGGCTCTAGTAGTTCCACCCACTATTCCTGAAATCGAACTACATATGAGTGCAAAAACATGACTTCAAATTATGTATGAATGACCACCCCTACCTTACCTTTACATCTAAACCCTTACGAATTGCTCACATAATCATATTAGCACTTTAGAAAGAGACAGTGATCGATTTTGGGACCAAAATCAGAACGAAAAGTCGTTTTTTCCAGGGGTGTCCGAAATTACCCCAAAACACGGGGTAATTTCGGACACTGCTTCGGACCCTCCACTGTAAAAACGGTGAGGTGCAGATATTTGAAATAAGCGCCAAATCGAAGCTAATGGTGGGTAGATGATAAATGTTAACCCTCAAGCCCATGACAGCACCACGACTTTCACAATTTCAAAAAAACCTATCAAAAGTGTCCGAAGTTACCCCGTTTCACGGCACATAGTCGGACACATGGTGACAGAAAGTCACGCAAAAAATTGGCGTGGCAGGAAACTCACGCCTAAACGGCGTGACGTGTGTGTCACACCGTCATCTGGCGTGAATGTACCATGTGGTCTGTTGCGCACAATGCGTTATATGAGAGGAGTTGTTCCAAAAACGGCATGACTGGACCTGGACGTTCACGCTGAAACTGGGTGCGAATGTCTGAGTCACACCGATTTTTGGCACACTGTCAGAAATTTTGTCGTAAATTAGCGACAAAAACGTCGCTAATTTTGATAGCGACAGAAATCGTTCTGAAACTACTTCGTCGTAACTGAACGACTAAAAAAATCATTCCTCTACGACAGTGTCGTAATCGCGATTACATATTTTAAAATCTGAAATCCCCGAAAAGTTGATGAAAAGTTGCAATTTTGCTCGCTTATTTACGATTTGAGTCGTTCATTTACGATTCATTACGCAAAGTTACGACAAGATTCGTTAATGTACGACTGAAGTCATAACTGCACGACATATTCCATAGAAAAATTACGATCGTTCGCAAACTTACGATAAAGTTGTAAATTAACGACTTAATTCGTTTCAAAACGGAACGTCTTGCTATCAAAATTAGCGACACATATGTCGTAAATTTACCTCTGAAGTCGTATATTTACGAATTGAGTCGTAATAAAATATGTCGTTTAAAAACGACATGATTGTTTTACAAAATGTCGTAAATTTACGATTATTTTTAACAGTGCATAACCATTCTGTCATTCCGTTTTTTTTTTTGTTTTTTTATGTTTTTCTTTTGGCGTGACACTTCATTCACGCCTCTGCTGCGGCACGAGGTCACGCCGATAGACTTCTAGAGGTCACAAGCTTACAAAGAATGTACTTCCTACACGGGAAAAACGGTTCCTGGTTTTCCCAGGAACTCCCTGGAAATCGCCTATGTCTCCACCATGAGCTTCCTGGAAGAACAAGGTACCGTTTTTACCGTGTAATTTACGAATTATTTCTTCGTATAACAAAGTAAATTGGTTTGTAATAAGCAAAGTGTAGTTAACTGTAGTTTAACTGCAATTAAACTGCTGTGTGTACCAAGTGGGTCACGGACCCCGTGAGAAATGGTTACTATGCAACCCGCTTTGAGCCCGGCATCCGGGCTTGCCTACGCGGCAGTCGGAGGGCGCAGTGGGAGACCGGGCAAGCCGGCTGGCAGGCTGCAGGCAGATAGGCGGTCCTCCGCTGCACCCGGCGACGGATTCGGGAGGGATTAGCTGCCCGGTCTCCCAGCATGCATCTCGGTTGCGCCGACACCCTAGGCCTCCCGTTCGCCCGACGACTGCCGCATAGGCAAGCCCGGATGCAGGGCTCCAAGCGGGTTGCATAGTTACCATTTCTCACGGGGTCCGTGACCAACCTGCCACAGGTCCATCTGCAGTCTCAATCTTTTTTTTTTGTGCCACTACCATTTGTAACACTTGATGAACTTTAAGTCCAGATGTCTCATACTTATTCTGGAATTGTAAATGCATTTTAAAATTGTAGATTTGATTATATTTCGATCCACCCGGGATAACACGCTCACAAAACATCAGAACGATCGCAGGGGGTCGTGGCACAAAGTGTCTTTTCTTAAATGGGATTACCTATTACTGCTTCGTATTATTCTTGGGCCAGATTCACTGGAACGTAGCGCAGAATTCATCGCAAGAAATCTAGAGTGTATCCGCGAACCAACCTGGAACGACCGACTAATGGTTAATCGTGCCTCCACTGCAAATGCAACGGCGATACTAAAGTACATTTTTTGGCGATACAATTGAGTATCGCCAAGAAACGGCCTTACGGAAAAGTATTGCTTTCAGAACGGCGATACAAAAAAGTATCGCCAAAATTTGGCAATACTTTTGGATATTGCCAACACCACGGCATTAAACCAAGGTCTTGTACGCTCGATTTGTGCGACGTTTATTGCCAAATCGTGGCAATACTTAAAAGTATCGCCAAATTTTGGCGATACTTTTGTGTATCGCCGTTTTGAAGGCAATACTTTTCCGTAAGGCCGTTTATTGGCGATACTCATTTTTATCGCCAAAAAAGGTGCTAAAAGTATTGCCTTTGGATTTAGAGTGTCTTGCGTTGGCAGGTGGTAGAACTGCAGGCGCACCATCCCGGCGTAACACCGCTGCTCACCGCCTTGCCTCGCCTGCGCGAGTTACAGTGCACCTTGCTGGAGGACATGCCGGCGCTGCTGCAGTGCCCCTCGCTGAAGAAGGTGCACCTCTTCGTCGATGTGGGCTCGACGCTAGAGGCCTTCATGCCCGGAGTGGCAGAGTACCTTCGCGCGGCCGTTTCGCGTCTGGAGGAGCTCGTCTTGGAGTACCCTGGCGATGAGCATCGCGGCGAAGCCACCAACTTGGTGTTATGTCTGGCGGGCTCGCGACACGCCGCACAGACTCTGCGGAGCTTGACCCTCCAAAATGAGGACAGTGAGGACGGGTACGCGTCGCTGGAAGCGGCGCTGCCCCCTCTGGCCGCCATTCTCCACCGCCTGAAGGCCCTCGTGACCCTGCACGTCCCCACTATGTCGAATGATCTCCTTGATGCACTGGACGGCGACGCACTGCCCAACCTGGAGCAGCTGACCTTCAACACGCCAGAGCGTTGCCCCCACGAGTGGATCCACGGCGAGCAAGTCAGGGCCGTCTTGCGGAGGTTCCCACGGCTGCACTTGTTCATGATCTCCGACCATGATGAATTATGTTGTCAATATTGTGAGGGGCACCTCTGCCATGAATTCTCGTCCAAACGCTGCACGCTGTTTAGCCACCCGGAGAATGAATGCTGTGGCGTGAAGCATGTCGAGGAAGAAATATACATCAGTTTATAAATTATTGATAAAAACTTTTTTATACATATATCTATAAAGAGCATTGCCACTACGTCGCTGCCTGTGCTGAGCTACCCTCGATTTTCTTGTTCTGAGTGCCTTTATGTTGACGCAAACAATTTTGATTCTGCGACTGGTTTTGTATTTTCTTCATGTCGTTGCTGAAAAAAGACTCTCATCCTGTTCTCTATTGATCATTTAACGTCCCAAACTTGTGTTATAAATCCACTGAGTTTTTATCTTTGAAGGCTTTCATTTCATAATACGTAAGTCTGTAGCGCTGCAAAGATCTCGTATTCATCTGATCCAGTTATCATTATTATTTTATGGCATGCTCTAGCAAAAGAGATTTGTCTCTTTCTCCTGCCAAGCTGCGTTAGTTAGAATGTTGTCACGTATTGGATATTGAATAACAACCATCCCTGTGGATGTCAACTGCTTGTGGATCGAAAATTTTATCTATTTGACTTTGTTCGACCTGCCCTGAGAATAAAGGAGTCATAATCTTAACTATAAAATATTGAGTAAGTTTATTACTAGATTGAAGTAAGTATCGGCCAAAAGAACCGTATTTAATGAAAAATTTGTAAAGAAAAGACACATTTTTCTAGCATTTTCGGTTCCCTGTACTTATGCATAAGTTCAAATTGAACCTAGAACCACAAAGGTTCAAATCAGACAAAAAAACTGCCCCAAGTGCCCGCTCCTATGATGTCGCTGGCCAAGTGTTTAGACTGGCGCTTCTTACGACGAAAAGTTTTCTCTTCGCACAGAGTATTTTAGTGAATTGGGCCGGAATTGAGAAGCGTGTCAATTTGTTTTGATCCACCGTCTGCGCATACAAAGCCCTCATGTTTCCGTCGATAACAGGTCGCTTTTCTTTTTCTGACAGATGAGCAGGGCGTTCATAAGGGAGAAAACATTTAGAGCCGAGGACTCTTTATTTGTACAACATTACTTCATACACAGGATAGAGGGCGGTGCGGTTTTGCCATGGTATGCTGCACACCGTTTGACCTTTCATAATCTGTAACGAAGCGAACATGTTAGGCTGTCTTCTTGACATTGTTACCACACTCTCAAACATTTTTGAACATACTAGCAAGAAGGGTATTTTAACTCAATACTTGTACATCAATGAGACGTATACTATAATTCAATATTTTAGTTCAAATGACTGAATAATAGTTCAATGCAGAGAACTCTACACTTTGAATGAAAGAGTCATGATCATGACTAAAATTTTGGGCGAGGAATTCTTTATCACCCAAATTTGGGTGAGAAAGGTTTCTTCACCCAAATTTGGGTGAGGAAGGTTTCCTCACCCAAATTTGGGTCATAATACTATGGAGCCGTATAGGCAACTGATACACCCTTCCTCACCCAAATTTGTGCGAGGAAACAATCCTCGCCCAAATTTGGGTGATAAAGTATATCTCGCCCAAAATTGGGTATTGATCATGACTTTTTCATTCTCAGTGTATTCAGCATTCTTTTTGACTTCTGAGCAAAATGGTCGGGAAGGGAGGGCTATCACACCGGTCAGAACTTCTCCATCGTATTAAGATATTTGTCACAAAAGTTAAGGGCAAACTGTTGGTAACAGCTATGGAATAAGGCTTTTAACGACCATTTTAAAAAAATCATCAAGCAAGCATAATGACGTAATGTCAAGGATCGTTCGGCAACAAGGTCAAGTGCTATATTTTCAAAACAGCACGTACCAGTCCGGACTCTAGGATGAACGCAGTTTCGTCCAGAACTCGGCAGGTGTATAGGTCGGTCCCGTTCAGATACACGCCGGTCGGTTGAGCCCCAAGAGGAATGACGCCGTTTGCTGCCGGTATCCAAGTCACTTCGTCAGCAATGAGGACCTGTACCATGAGAATGTGTCTTATGTGTTGCAAGTTGCACACTACAGACTTCACTGTCCTTGAACACACACACCGAGGGATGCTATTCAAATAATCTTATCTGGGCGTTGTTTCCCCCAAGAGAATCTTATTTTAGAGGCAGGTGAATTTCACTCAGTTTGACCATTTGGGACGGGTACGAGAGTAAGCGGAAAATACATGCACTTTTGGTTTCTTTGATCTCTCATCTTCAGATTTAAGTGAATTAGATCACAAATTATGTTGTTTTGTAGCTGTATCAAATGGCCAACTGAGTGAAATTTGCCTGCATCTAAGATAAGATTCTCTGGAAGGAACGCCCAGATAAGATATTTGGAATAGGACCCCTCGACATGCTTCGCAAGTACATATGCTGATCTCATGCACTTGTGTGTATTTGGCCAAGTGTCTATTTTTTAGGGGTTCCCAAGAACCCCTATTGTCCGAGGTCCGTGGATTCCTTCCCCCCCCCCCCTCTTCGATTTTCAAATTAACAACGCTGAACTATTTCAACTATAAAAAAAACGAAAATTCCAAATTTTTTTCGAAAATTAATGGTGGAAATTTTCCGTAAACGCGAAAAACATAAATTTGCAACAATCAAAAACCAGAACCGTTCATGATATGAAAAAATGGTTCAAATAAAAAATGTACCACTCCTCAAAACTAAACCTCCTGGCTCATCAAAGTGACAAGAAATTGTCTGTGTTCTGAGAAAATGGTTAAAACATGAAAAAAAAAAATCGCCATGGCAACGACACGACACCAACATGCCAACTGTCAAAATTTCAAGTGACCCATCAAAAGAAATCAACACGCCGTGAAATTCGAAAATGCCAATGCTAGCGCATTGCACTGTGTCCTGACATTGGAACGAAATCCGTCATTGGTAAAACGTTCGTAGCAGAAAAGACGCAATAAATTAATTTTCGTGGGTTGGCAACAATTTTCTCGGTGTCTGCGCCCTTTCGAAAATCGCGAGACTGAAAAAACGAGTAGTCGCGCATTGAAACTGTCCCTTCATTGTTGCTGAGGTTGGATTGTTTGGCATGCTTCTAAAGGCTGCGGTTGACTTGTCATGTTTTCCTCAATTCTGTGACCAGCTAAACGGTTGGTTTGACAAACCGCACTCGCACTCCGTAACAAAGGTGTTCTAAAGGAAGGCCCAAAGAGTACCCACCCGTTGAGGGAGAACGATTAGCCGCTTTAGATTAGTCGCAGTGGGTGCCTAAAGTCAGCTCAAACCACGATTTCTGCACATTTGTTACCGTTTCAACAAACTTTGCTGCAATACCGCTCCCAAACTAAGGCGGCTAATCGCACTCCGTAACAAAGGTGTTTCAAAGGAAGGCCCAAAGAACACCCACCCGTTGAGAGAGAACGATTAGCCGCCTTAGATTAGATGCAGTGGCTGCCTAAAGTCAGCCCAAACCACGATTTCTTCACATTTGTTACCGTTTTGACAAACTTTGCTGCAATACCGCTCCCAAACTAAGGCGGCTAATCGCACTCCGTAACAAAGGTGTTCTAAAGTAAGGCCCAAAGAACACCCACCCGTTGAGGGAGAACGATTAGCCGCCTTAGATAAGACGCAGTGGCTGCCTAAAGTTAGGCCAAACGATGATTTCTACACATTTGTTACTGTTTTGACAAACTTTGCTGCAATACCGTTCCCAAACCAGGACCCCTTTTTATTGGTATTTCAAAACTTACTTTTAAACCAGTTATGAAGCTGGGAACACCCTGCAATGCGATTAGCATTGGAATTTTTTATGTATGCTCGGCCAAGTACGCATTTTTTTATTTGTACCGGGTCAAGTATGCATTCACTCTCATTCCAGGAATGTGATATCACGTTGAAACGAACGTGAGCATTGTGTCACATTTGTTTGGGTGTGAATTGGCAAAATATCAGCTTGTTCACATTCAAACGAACGTGACACAATGCTGAAACGAACGTGACATTTTGTCACGTTCGTTTCAACGTGATGTCACGCCCTGGAATGACGGAGTTCGTTTGAATGTGACATACTCAATTTGCCACGTTCGTTTGAATGTGACACGCCATGATTGTCAGGTTATGGGGTGCCACGTTCGTTTTAAGGGGGCAGTAGCGTCATTTGCACGTGTTTTGACGATTTTCGAACCTCCTGTTTAGACGTTAATATAAAGATAAGTATGAATGCCAGAGACAAACGGCAGGCACCATTTAAAAGATAAAAGTTTTTACAACATTTTCAAAAAAAAATATTTTGTTTTAGCATTGAATTAGGATGTTTTGTGTTCTATGCAAAAATGGTCTGCAAAATTACATGGTGTCACTGCGCGCACGATTGCAGCCAAAGTTTTTTAACTTTTTACCAATCGGTAAAATCCATCTGAAAAAGCATGAAATTGCCCATAAAATGACCCTTGGGTTTTAATATTGGGCCAGAAAAAATGTGGTTCGTTTCCATCTTAAGTTGAAGATGAGCGTTTCAATAGTTTTTCTTGCCCAATATTGAAACCCAAGGGTCATTTTATGGGCAATTTCATGCTTTTTCAGATGCATTTTACCGATTGGTAAAAAGTTAAAAACTTTGGCTGCAATCGTGCGCGCAGTGACACCATGTAATTTTGCAGACCATTTTTGCATAGAACACAAAACATCCTAATTCAATGCTAAAACAAAATATTTTTTTTTGAAAATGTTGTAAAAACTTTTATCTTTTAAATGGTGCCTGCCGTTTGTCTCTGGCATTCATACTTATCTTTATATTAACGTCTAAACAGGAGGTTCGAAAATCGTCATAACACGTGCAAAAGACGCTACTGCCCCCTTAACGTGCCCACTCGGGCAGGTCACATTCAAACGAACTTGACAGTGCATGGGTGTACATTTTGGTTCACGCTTGACTGTGTAAGACCTCCACACTTCAATTTGCAGTGTGGGTACCTCAAAATTTTCCTTCTTGACTTCGTAATCTTGCCACGAGGCCCAGGCACCCACGTTGGGCCGTGCAATGCCGGGCAGGATGTTGTTGTCGTGCCAGACTCTCGCCACGAACGTGGGTAAGTTATCAGTGAACACGCCGGCCTGCACTGCACCGGAGTCCAACAGACGGGACGGCGTCATGGCAATCCAATTAGACCGACCTGTCGGAACACATTCAGCCAATCGCACTTCACTGGCAAACATTCAGCAAATAACACAACACTGGGAAACTTTCAATAAATAGCACAACACTGGGAAACATTAAACAAATAACACAACACAGGGCAACATTCAATAGTAACATTAATGAAATTCCGTGATTCGCACATCCCTAAATACAGCGTAATACTAAGTACTCTGTACACGATCTCTTCGAATCGAATCTCAAAAAAAAAGTTTCGAATCGAACTCGAATCGAATCTGGAAAAAGTTGTCGAATCGAATCGAACTTTTAAAGATTCAGAATCGAATCGAATTCGAACTGAAACTAAAAAAATTTAGTGCGTTTCAAAACACATTTTCTGTAATAAAGGAAGGGCATAGAGCAGGCATACAAAATGAAGAAAAATCAAAAAAATCTGATCTTGCTTTGGCATAAAATCAACGCTATGCGCGCGGCATTCAACCGTTTTCGAGCAACCGATTCGAAGACGAACCACTGTCGATTCGAAAATTTCGAATATTCGGGGTCGAAGCAAAGACATCCGTCCCCGAATCGAATCGAATCACCCCTGATTCGATTCGATATCGAACTATTTGCACACCCCAAGCTGTATTACGGGGATACGGCATTAAAATGGCAAAATTTCGCACATTTGGCCCAAAAATTGTATAACAATTGCGCCTTATTAGGCACGGTTTTTGTGTACAGGGTATTACACGAGTGTTTACACCCCCTCGTAGCGCCCTAAACTGTGGGGGCAGGCGACAAAGGCACCCAGTTTCAGAGCATGCCAAACTCAGAGTGAAGCCGTCAAACTTACCCCAAGTCTGCTGCGCGACCACAACCAGAACGATAGACAACGAACGCCACATCTCGGGCAGAGCCATGACGGTTTCTCTCTCACTAGCTGGGCACGTTCACGGCGAGCTCCTTAAATAGCACCGCTCGCGAAAGGCGGCGGGCACGTACGGTGAGACTTCGAGTCCGCATGGATGCCGTCACCACAGAAGAACTGACTGTAGTCAAAATCTTTGACACGTATAGGAGAGATTCTACTGCTAACCAGCGCGTGGGTCTTAGACGGGTAGCCCGCGGGGGCCGCGGGCCACTCTCACGAACCGCGAACACTCCCCCTACAGCTCGGAATATATACATATACGTGTTGTTATTTTCGCTTTGTATTGAGTGCTATTCCTATCGAGGCACTGGGTTTCTTCCATTGAGATACCGCCTGAAAGTGTCCAAACGCGTATGTTGACGCAAATTGTGTAAACAATGGCTTCTGTTAAACGAAATTACAGAAAAAGTGTAATGTCCATGATGTTTTTTGTCTGTGAACACGAAATTCTTATTTCTGAACGGAGCTCTTGCAAGCTTACCGGTCGCGACCTTCTCATTGGACATCTCTTGGGCGGGAAAAGGGGGTGAGGGAGGGGCGTCACTGAGCCGGCCGGCACTGCTCAACTCCCTATTACGATAATTGCTGACGTTGTACGCCGACGTTCGATCGAGACCACCACCCCCACGAGCAGGCCGGAACAGCGTCGCCACCTGTCTGTCCGCAGTGTGTGGGGCTCGCCGAGGCGCGCATGCGGCGCCCACCCTGCTCGCGTGATGCCGGTTAGTGTGCACTTCATCAACATGAAGTGGTTGAAACCAAATCCGTCGTCAAAACGTTGTTCAACGTTCAAACGATCGTGACACAACATATATGTACAAGGTAGGTTTACGCCAGACCGCGTCTTGTCGTAACAGGCTTCGCGATGCCTCGCTGCCTGTTTCTCCAATCCGCGCCTGGCGTACCTACCTTGGCCTGCGGCGCTAGTCTGCCTTCGGCAGGCAATGGCTTGTCCATCGTCGGTTACTTCTTACTTGATGCATGCTGGGGGGCTCCGCCCCCCAGACCCCCCCTTTCTAAGGCAGAGGTGATCTGCCTGCAGAAAACTCGATTTTTCGCCGTTTTTTAGGTGTTTTTCGGCTATTAAAACTGAACCAGTTGAGCTAGGATAGTGAAATTTCGCGTGTGCCGAGCCAAGGACATGCCCAAAAAGTGTGCAAAATCTCACCGAGATCGGCCGAGCCGTTCAGGAGGAGTAGTGTGGACACACACGCACACACGCACGCACACAGACAGGAAAAACTTTTCAACCCCAATGGAGTAACAGGCTTCGCTATCGCTCAGCCAATAACGAATAGGACATCCGGGCCGTTGAAAAAATGATGAAAAACTGAGTACACGCTAAATGTTTATGTTCAATTGTGTACGTTATGAGGCATGATTACCTGTGTACTGAAGTGCATAAAGTTGTGCTCAAATTTGCATATATGTGTGCATGTACACTGGTAGCCAACGAATGTGACGTCATATTCGTTCGGATGTGAATTTTGTCACGTTCGTTTGAATATGATGTCGTATTCGTTTGAATGTTGATCCACGTTGAAACGAATGTGACACCCTACTGACCCTACCTAGACGGCCGAGTCATGTTGAAACGAATGTGACATCATATTCAAACGAACGTGACAAAATTTACGCTCCAACGAATATGACGACACATTCGTTGGCTACCAGTAGTGTACGCATGATTATATGCAAATTACACGTAAGCACCAAATCGTGACAGTTTACACGTACAAAATACTGTCCACACATTTAGTGTAAAACGGGGGATGAGAGGCTCCAGCTCGTATACGCCTGTCGGTTTGTAGAGTACGCGGCCCTAGATGCCAGCCTGGGAGTCCTACGCCGAGTGGAGCTGGCGATGCTGGCTCTGGGCGCTGCGCTCCTTCGGCATGGCGCCCTTCACCACGGTATGGGGTGGCGAGCCCCCGGCCATGTCGCGACCCTGGCTGGTGTGAGTTCTGGAAACGATTATCACGTTCTAGAAAGTTGTCATTTATTCCTCGAAGATTGAGTCCACTTGCTAATGTTTACGCAATTTTATGGTTTCGACGTTACATGCTGCACACTCCCAATTTACTTCGTACTGAGAAATGCCGTGCGGTCCTAATACTGAGCTAGTTCTTAGTACTCAACGATACGAATCTATCATTATGCAGACAAGTTTGTTCGTTCTACGACGAAACAGATCTTAAGTTACTCAGAATCTTTTCTCAGTTGTGCTGTCACTAAGTTTTTCTCGTATGCTTGTATTGTCATCCAGGGTGCATATTATGGTAATTATTCCGAATAGCGGCTCCACCTATAGGGGGTGAAAGGAAAAGTTTGGACAGATATTGATGAGTACTGTTCGAAACTGCAAGGAAGATGCGGCGCTCTTGAAGGATATCGCTGTAAATGTTTATTTGCGTACCTCACCATACATAACCCCGATCAATGCAGCGTTAGCGGGAAATGCGCTCGCACCGTCAATTTACCACGCGTTGAGTAGAAGGGGAAATGTTAGAGGGATGTTAGGTCTACCTCGCAGACCTACGATATGCCCCCAAATATTTTCCCTTAATAATTAAGGAAAACTGGGCGGGCCGATGAACCTATAGAAGCCACTTAAAGATAGCACCACCTGTCACAACTGCAGACGGCCGGGTCCACTATCTCGAATTGATAGAAGGGGAAATATTTAGGGTTCTTCCTGCAAAGCGATTCCTTCTTCGATTCTTGTTTTTCTGTGTACACTCTCAGCACGTTACTGTCTTTTTCCTCATTAATTACGTCTCCGAATAAACAGCAATAATAGTAGTATTTTCTAAGTAAGTATGGCCAATTTCTTTTGTACAGTTATGCACAAAACTAAATTCTTAGTATATTACTCTAATATTTCCTAACTAGTTCTTTAAAAAAGGAAAAGTACGTCGTGGTTGCACAAATTACTTGCATACTGACAAAATGAGCAAAGAGTCAGTAACATGCTGAGAGTGTACCCAATCCAAACGGGGACTCTACTCCAGGTGCAGCATCGTCGGGGCGGTCTCGCTGCCGGCGCTCCGCGTCTCCACCTTCGTGGACTTCATGCTGTCGTACGAAGACGACGCCTTCTTCGTGGCCAAGCTGCACGAAAGCATCCACGTCTACAACGCCATGACGGCGGGGCTCGTGTCGGCGGCTTCCATCTGGCGCCGCCACGACGTCCTGGCCCTGGTGCGCGGCCTGCACTACAGCATGAGGCACTCCATGAAGCCGTCGACGCTGGCCCTCCAGCGCGTCTCCACTGTGGCCGCCATTGCCGCCTTCACGCTCTTCGCCGTGCTGCTCATCACCATCTACGTCGTGTTCATCAACCGCATCATCAGCAGCTACATGGGCGTGCCCAACGACGTGGGCAACATGGTGTTCACGTTCGTCAGGTCGGCCAACCAATTCGCAAATAGAATGCACGCCTCAGCGATTAGAATCGCTCGAAATCGGCACAAAATCACGCGACAACCAGCTAACACTCCAAATCCAGTGGCAAGTTTCCTCGCCACTGGAGTGGCGTCTTTTCCAAAGCGCCAAAATTTGGCGTTCCCATCCCTGGTTTCCGGATTCCATGCCAAACTTTGGCGTTCCACAGAGAGCGCCAAAATTTGGCGTTCCATTCCCCAGAGCACCACAGACCAGAACGCCAAAAATTGGCGCTGCAAAAGAAATGCAATAATTTGGCTTAGAAAGCAATACCCGTTCACAGGAAAATAAATGTGCATACAATAGTTTTCAGTGCATAGGATCCCCAGTTCAAATCACAGCAATTATACTATGAAAAGTAGAACTGGGCCACTAAAATACAAGACCTGCATCTGTATTTTCAGGTTACGTGTCAATGCCGCTGACCAACTATTGAATCACTTTGGTTTGGCCAGCGATTCCTTAGACACTTGGAAAATGGTACTCACATCAACACAAAAAGCTGGATATCACTTAGTCACTCTCTCTTGATAAGGGGTTGACACAGCAAGGGGTCTCAGTCCGTTCTCAAATCAAGAAGACTTGAGCCAGCCTCAAAGCCCTAGCCTGGCCCTGTTGCATCACGCCGCTCCCTCTTCAAAATCTTCCTCAGAACAACACTTGAATAGTTTTGAAATGGCCCGAGAGCACTCAGGCCTTTGGAAAGTACTGCGACACGATAAAACATGACTGACACACTATCGTTGACCGTGGCGAGACGAAATGCACACAAAAGTAACAATTTGAATGTTTCGTTTGTCTTAGAGAAGTAGCCATGGTTACTGTTTTTGTTGTTTTGCTTTTGATGATTGCTTATGCGCCCTACCTGTTGAGTGTGAATAAAACGTGGAGGGCGAATAACATGTTATTCGCACGCAATATGTTATTCACCCTCCACGTTATTCACCCTCCATGTTATTCGCACGCAATATGTTATTCACCATCCACGTTTTATTCGCACTCAACATGTAGGGCGCATAAGCAATCAACAAAAGCAAAACAACAAAAACAGTAAACATGGCTACTTCTCGAAGACAAACTGGGGAATGGAACGCCAAATTTTGGCGCTCTCTGTGGAACGCCAAAGTTTGGCATGGAATCCGGAAACCAGGGATGGGAACGCCAAATTTTGGCGCTTTGGAAAAGACGCCACTCCAGTGGCGAGGAAACTTGCCACTGGATTTGGAGTGAAATCGCATTACAGAAGGGAAAATAACGCAAATCGGAAAGAACATGTACGAACACTGAGAATCCAAACGCTATGGGTATAGCGTCAATTGGTGCGATGCAAAAGCATCGCACATGAAGTGCAATGCCTCCCCATTCCCATGTAGCATAGGGCATTTTCGGGACGCATTGCACTGCGATATGGCCATGGCATTGCACGTACGGTACGATATCTTAGCTGTATTGCACCATACGTGCTATACTCATAGCGCTTGGAATCTCAGTGAACATACTCTACAAATCCAAAAGCGTACATTGTATGCTCTACCTGGAGCATGCAAGCACGCTCTAGCTGGCGCATGCCGCGCATGCCTGTCAAGCATGCACTTGCTAGTGCATACATGCCAAGTACACGCT